GTGTATATGCATGAGAGTAATGTGTGTACACGAGAAAGAGAACGGTATGTCTGTCTGTGGAGAGGCCTCTTCACTTTGTTTCCAACTAGAATTATGATGAGGATAGCCGATGGCCTTCCCAGATGTCAGCACCGCAGCCTGCCTCACCTTAAGCTGGAGGAGGAGAGGTAGAAGTAGAGGAGAAATAGAGGGGGAACAGTGAAGGAAAAGACCGAGAGGATGGGTGTTCTGCTCCAGGGCTGCAGTGCAGAGGAGGGCTGGGTGACTCAGCCATGTCACACTCCAGTGGCAGAGGTCTCCTTCACACTGCTAGCGGACTGGGGGCAGGCACACATGCACACAATCGCGCACACACACACACACACACCGGTCAAAAGTTTTAGAACACCTACTCATTCAAGGGTTTTTCTTGATTTTTTACTATTTTCTACATTGTAGAATAATAGTGAAGACATCAAAACTATGAAATAACACATATGGAATCATCTAGTAACCAAAAAAGTGTTCAAATATATTTTATATTTGAGATTCTTCAAATAGCCACCCTTTGTCTTGATGACAGCTTTGCACACTCTTGGCATTCTCTCAACCAGCTTCATGAGGTAGTCACCTGTAATGCATTTCAATTAACAGGTGTGCCTTCTTAAAAGTTAATTTGTGGAATTTCTTTCCTTCTTAATGCGTTTGAGCCAATCAGTTGTGTTGTGACAAGGAAGGGGGGTATACAGAAGCCCTATTTGGAAAAAGAGCAAGTCCATATTATGGCAAGAACAGCTCAAATAAGCAAAGAGAAATGACAGTCCATCATTACTTTAAGACATGAAGGTCAGTCAATCCGGAAAATGTCAAGAACTTTGAAAGTTTCTTCAAGTGCAGTCGCAAAAACCATCAAGCGCTATGATGAAACTGGCTTTCATGAGGACCGCCACAGGAATGGAAGACCCAGAGTTACCTCTGCTGCAGAGGATAAGTTCATTAGAGTTACCAGCCTCAGAAATTGCAGCCCAAATAAATGCTTCACAGAGTTCAAGTAACAGACACATCTCAACATCAACTGTTCAGAGGAGACTGTGTGAATCAGTCCTTCATGGTCGAATTGATGCAAAGAAACCACTACTAAAGGACACCAATAAGAAGAAGAGAGTTGCTTGGGGCAAGAAACACGAGCAATGGACATTAGACCGGTGGAAATGTGTCCTTTGGTCTGGAGTCCAAATTTGAGATTTTTGGTTCCAAACGCCGTGTCTTTGTGAGACGCGGTGTGGGTAAACGGATGATCTCCGCATGTGTAGTTCCCATCGTAAAGCATGGAGGATGAGATGTTATGGTGTGGGGGTGCTTTGCTGGTGACACTGTCTGTGATTTATTTAGAATTCAAGGCACACTTAACCAGCATGGCTACCACAGCATTCTGGAGCGATACGCCATCCCATCTGGTTTAGGCTTAGTGGGACTATCATTTGTTTTTCAACAGGACAATGACCCAACACACCTCCAGGCTGTGTAAGGGCTATTTTACCAAGAAGGAGAGTGATGGAGTGCTGCATCAGATGACCTGGCCTCCACAATCCTCCGACCTCAACCCAATTGACATGGTTTGGGATGAGTCAGACCACAGAGTGAAGGAAAAGCAGCCAACAAGCGCTCAGCATATGTGGGAACTCCTTCAAGACTGTTGGAAATGCATTCCAGGTGATGCTGGTTGAGAGAATGCCAAGAGTGTGCAAAGCTGTTATCAAGGCAAATGGTGGCTACTTTGAAGAATCTCAAATATAAAATATATTTTGATTTGTTTAACACTTTTTTGGATACTACATGATTCCATATGTGTTATATCATAGTTTTGATGTCTTCACAATTATTCTACAATGTAGAAAATAGTACAAGTAAAGAAATCCCTTGAATGAGTAGGTGTTCTAAAACCTTTGACCGGTTGTGTATGTGATTAACACAATGCAGTTTTACACCATTCATAACAGCAGCAAAGTAGGTTTCCTTTATACTTTACTTATTGGCAGACTAAATAGCCTTGGTTTCTCAAATGACTGCCTCGCCTGGTTCACCAACTACTTCTCAGATAGAGTTCAGTGTGTCAAATCGGAGGGCCTGTTGTCTGGACCTATGGCAGTCTCTATGGGGGTGCCACAGGGTTCAATTCTTGGGCCGACACTTTTCTCCGTGTATATCAATGATGTCGCTCTTGCTGCTGGTGACTCTCAGATCCACCTCTATGCAGACGACACCATTTTGTATACATCTGGCCCTTCATTGGACACTGTGTTAACAAACCTCCAAACGAGCTTCAATGCCATACAACAATCCTTCAGTAGCCTCCAACTGCTCTTAAACACTAGTAAAACTAAATGCATGCTTTTCAATCGAACGCTGCTGGCACCCGCCCACCCGACTAGAATCACCACTCTCGACGGGTCTGACCTAGAGTATGTGGACAACTACAAATACCTAGGTGTCTGGTTAGACTGTAAACTCAACTTCCAGACTCACATAAAGAATCTCCAATCCAAAGTTAAATCTAGAATCGGCTTCCTATTTCGCAACAAAGCCTCCTTCACTCATGCTGCCAAACATGCCCTCGTAAAACTGACTATCCTACCGATCCTTGACTTCGGCGATGTCATTTACAAAATAGCCATGGCATCAGAACACCTGCTTTCCCTGTGTGATTGTACTTTTCCACCTGCTTGGGGAAAAAGGCCTCTTACCCCCAAAAAAGGTTTCCATGCCAACGTGATTAAACTGTGTTTTTCCTTGTTGCCGATGGTTAAGCTGCCCCTGTGTGTGTGTGTGTGTGTGTTGATGGTGGATTCCTCCCGTGCGGGGGCTGCTCGGGGATGAGAGAAGAGAAGAGGTTAGGCAGGAAGCGGGAGCTGGGGTGTGACCAGAATGAGTATGGCTGCAGCTGTGGAGCCTGCCAGTGGACAAATGGAGGACCTGTGCAAAGCTGGGGGGGGGGGGGGGGGGCGAGAGAGGGGGAGGGAGAGAGACTCACTGGGCTAGAGGGGCTGTTATACTGTAGACTCTGTCTGGGCCTGGAGAGGACTGTCTATGGATGGGTCTGGTAAGAGATACTGTATGTTCCCAGGGGCTAGGACCTATAGCATAGTGCCCTTACATCTGACCAATAACTGCCTTATGATATAATAATAATATGACATTTAGCAGACGCTTTTATCCAAAGCGACTTACAGTCATGCGTGCATAATTTTTTTTTGTATGGGTGGTCCCGGGGATCGAACCCACTACCTTGGTGTTACAAGCGCCGTGCTCTACCAGCTGAGCTACAGAGGACTGCTAAATGGCATATTATTATTATTATATCATAAGGCATAGAATTACACAAAAAATTTATGCACGCATGACTGTAAGTCGCTTTGGATAAAAGCGTCTGCTAAATGGCATATTATATTATATTATAATTAGTCTAGAATCATAACAGACACAAACAGACCACAGTGTGACCACAGTGGTGCCAGGACAACAACCTCTCCCTCAACGTGAGCAAGACAAAGGAGATGATCGTGGACTACAGGAAAAGGAGGGCCGAACACGCCACCATTCACATCGATGGGGCTGTAGTGGAGCGGATCGAGAGTTTCAAGTTCCTTGGTGTCCACATCACCAACAAACTACCATGGTCCAAACACACCAAGAAAGTCGTGAAGAGGGTACGAGAATGCCTTCGACAATGCCTTTTCCCCCTCAGGAGACTAAAAAGATTTGGCATGGGTCCCCAGATCCTCAAAAAGTTCTACAGCTGCACCATCGAGAGCATCCTGACCAGTTGCATCACCGCCTGGTATGGCAACTGCTCGGCATCCGACCGTAAGGCGCTACAGAGGGTAGTGCGTACAGCCCAGTACATCACTGGGGCCAAGCTTCCTGCCATCCAGGACCTATATACTAGGCGGTGTCAGAGGAAGGCCCCAAAAATTGTCAAAGACTCCACAGTCACCCAAGTCATAAACTGTTCTCTCTGCTACCGCACGGCAAGCGGTACCGGAGCGCCAAGTCTAGGTCCAAAACGCTCCTTAACAGTTTCTACCCCCAAGCCATAAGACTGCTGAACAATTAATCAAATGGCCACCCAGACTATTTGCATTGACCCCCCCCCCCCCCCTTTGTTTTTACACTGCTGCTACTCGTTGCATAGGGGATTCACAGGTTGACTTAGTTAATGTGTGTTTGGAAGTCTTTGGATCTTGGGTGGTTGTACTTTAGCACTAAGGCACTGTAAGGAACTCTGTTAGTCTACTTAACGTGGCTTTTTGTCTTATCTCCTCTACCTTGTTGTATTCAGAGGTGGTAGTGGTCTTGTATGGTCTTGTATGGTCAAGAGGCTATTCTTGGTTGTGACTACAGCCATCACAGACTACTACTCTACTCAACTCACACAGACTCTGTGAGTGTTCCTCTGGCACATACTTTACCAGTGTCTCTCTATACAGAGTCTCTTAATGGCCCTTGGCATGGGGTACTGGGCGGCCAACTGGCAGGCGGTGTGTCCATCCTCAGACAGACCCTCAGTGTTCCCCTGGCCAACAGTGGGCACTAGCTAGTGGGCAGACAGAAAGTCAATATGGGCAGTAGGCTCTGGGCACAGTGGGCAGTGGACACCCAAGCAGGCAGGCAGGGGAGTGTGGGATATCTCACACTCACTTAGAGGTTAGATCACACTGCTGTACTCATGAGACTGGCCGCATAGAAGGAGAGGGAAAGAGAGAGGGAGAAAGTGAGTAAAAGAGAGGGGGGGGGGGGGGGGGGTCACATACTTGTATGTCACAGTTTATATCAAAGATATCTAAGCCATATCTCTCACCACTGACAGCATAGAGAGTAGGCTACTCTCTCTGCATGTAGGGTCCCTGGCTGTCAATTCCAGTGTGGGGGAGGTAGAGCTCATGAAAATGCAGACAGAATGCTGATTAGAGAGAGAGAGAGAGAGAGAGAGAGAGAGAGAGAGCCTGTCTGAGTCAGCACACATGAACCATGGCCAGCTCTCGTGGGGGGTATGTATGTGTGTGGGGGGATGACCAAAAGGTCTCTGACATTCTGACTCGGATGGCTTCCCCTCAGCACTTACCAGAACTCTCCACTGTACTCAGCCTCCTGGCCTTTAAGGAATGTTCACTACAAACACACATATCCAATAAATACTAGGATAATGAAGCTTATAAACTGTGACTCAACAACATGATCGCAAATGCTTTGTCTGTACTCAAATAATACGACTACAAATCATTTGACTGACGTTTGTTCACTCCAATCACAGACGGTCCGTTCACGGGGACCCCTCCCACTTACGGTTATGATGCAGACCGTGCGGAGGAGCAGAGGCGCCACCATGACATCCTGCCCTACATCGACGACTCGCCCTCCGCCTCGCCACACCTCAGCTCCAAGAGCCGCGGCAGCCGAGACACCCTCTCCTCCGGATCCCTTGAGTCCTCCAAGTCGGTGAGTGTGCCCCCTCCCCCTTCAATTAAGTCTACCACAAAGGTCATCTCCCACTCATTCCAGGAAACTCCTCATATCAAACAGGGATTTATTTCCCAGTCTATAGACTACCACAGTATGAGTCACAATACCCATAAAACCTAGCGGTCAAACAGGAAAATGGTTCCAATCGTTTTTCCACCATTCATTTTTCCCATAGGGGATTTTAGAAACACTTAAAATGAGGGCTGTGTTTCGTGTAGGCTTACCCTGGCGTGACGTTTTGATAACCATGTAAATCTCTCTAGGACAAGGTGACTTTTATCAAAATATTCGCCTGTATTTATCCACCCCAAAATGAAATGCTAATTAGCTGCTAATGTGGCTATCATAAATAACTACAAATGCCATGATGATCTGGACGAGACTGGCGAATCTCTGGATGAACTATCTAGTGTTACCTACATGTAATAATTAATAAATTGGCTACATTTCTTTAAATGGACAATTCTGTGAACTGTCTTGTACAAGTTTTAAATTGACACAATACCTGTTAGCAAAGGTGACAGCTAGAGATGACGTGCAGGTGCTTGCAGGGATTTGTAGTTTTGCATGATGTCTACTTTGATGCTAATTAGCATTTTCAAATCTGAGAGTAAATAGAGCCGAATATATTGATAAAAGTCACCTTGTCCGAGAGAGGTTTACATGATTGTCACAACAGGTTAAGCCTACACGAAACACAACCTTTATTTGAAGTGTTTCTAAAATCCCCTATAGGAACAATGAATGGGAGAAAAACAATTGGAACCATTTCACTGTTTGACCGCTAGGTTTTATGGGTATTATGACACCTCCACAGTGGGGCTCTATTCTATCACCCTCTGGCCCTCCCTCACGGCCTCAACCATGAAGAGACATAAACACTTATCTCTGAGGCACATGTATACAGTGCCTTCAGAAAGTATTCAGACCCCTTGACTTTTTCCACATTTTGTTAGGTTACAGCCTTATTCTAAAATTGATTTTTTTTAATTTTTATATATCCTCATCAATCTACACACCATACCCCATAATGACAAAGCAAAAACAGGTTTTTAGAAATGTTTGCTAATTTATACAAAATAAAAATTTGAAATATCACATTTACTTAAGTATTCAGACCCTTTACTCAGTACTTTGTTGAAGCACCTTTGGCAGCAATTACAGCCTGGAGTCTTCTTGTGTATGACTCTACAAGCTTGGCACACCTGTATTTGGGGAGTTTCATCCATTCTTCTCTGCAGATCCTCTCAAGCTCTGTCAGGTTGGATGGGGAGCGTTGCTTCACAGCTATTTTCAGGTCTCTCCAGAGATGTTCGATCGGGTTCAAGTCCGGGCTCTGGCTGAGCCACTCAAGAACATTCAGAGACTTGTCCCGAATGTCACGCCCTGGCTCTAGGGACTCTTGTATGTTGAGCCAGGGTGTTAGTTTCTTTGTGTAGTGTCTATGTTTCGTTTTCTATGTTCTGTTCTAGGTTATGTGTTTCTATGTTGGCCGGGGTGGTTCTCAATCAGAGGCAACGAGAATCAGCTGTTGCTTGTTGTCTCTGATTGGGAACCATACTAAGGCAGCCTGTTGTCCACTTGTGTTTTGTGGGATCTTGTTCCGTGTAGGTTTGTGTATGACCGAGGACTTCACGTATCGTTTGTTGTTTTGTTATTTGTATCGTGTTGCTAAGTACACTATTAAAGAGATGTACGCATATCACGCTGCACCTTGGTCCAATCATTATGACGATCGTGACAGAAGATCCCACCAATACAGCACCAAGCAGCGTGTCCAGGAGCAAACGCCGGAGGTAACGTTAGTGGATGTCCTCCTCGGTTGGGGGCAGATCACGGAGGAGGAGGCCGTCCGTTACCGGAGGGCGATGAATGGGGAGACCCAGGCAGAAGAGGAGAAGCGGTGCCAACCGGGCCGTCGTCGGATAGGCAAGAGGCAACCCCAATAAATTTTTTGGGGGGGGCACACGGCATGGACGACGGGGCGGCTGGAGGCAGCTACAGGGCGAGTTTGTGGATTAGGAGAGGAGGCCACCGGGTTTGGGGGGCTGGAAGGGAGGTTGGCGGAGCCTAGAGGTAGAGCAGAGCCAACTCCCCGTACTCAGGCTAGGCAGCGTGAGACTGGGCAGGTTCCGAGGTATGCGGAGCTGCGTACTGTGCCGCGAGTGGTCCGGCACAGTCCTGTACGTCCTGTGCTAGCACCACTCACGTGTCGTGCTAAGGTGGGCATGCAGCCAGGACGGAGTGTGCCGGCTCAACGCTCGTGGCCTCCAGTACCCCTCCTCGGTCCCGGATATCCTGCGCCAGTGTCACGTGCTGTAGTGCCAGTACGAGTACACAGCCCTGTACGTCCTGTGCTGATGCCTCACACAGAGTGTGTAAAAATAGGCATTCAGCCAGGACGGGTTGTGTCAGCTCTTCGCTCCAGACCTCCAGTCCGTCTCCACAGCCCGGTCCGGCCTGTTTCTGTTCCCCGCACCAGGCCTGTGGTGCGCGTCGCCAGCCCGGCCCGGCCTGTTCCTGCTCCCCGCACCAAGCCTGTGGTGCGCGTCGCCAGCCCGGTCTGGCCTGTTCCTGCCCCTCGCACCAAGCCTGTGGTGCACGTCGCCAGCCCGGCCCGGCCTGTTCCTGCTCCCCGCACCAAGCCTATGGTGCGCGTCGCCAGCCCGGCCCGGTCCATTCCTGCTCCCCGCACCAAGCCAGTGGTGCGCGTCGTCAGCCCGGTCCGGCCCGTTCCTGCTCCCCGCACCAAGCCAGTGGTGCGCGACGTCAGTCCGGTCCGGCCCGTTCCTGCTCCCCGCACCAAGCCTGTGGTGCGCGTCGCCAGCCCGGTCCGGCCCGTCCCTGCTCCCCGCACCAAGCCTGTGGTGCGCGTCGTCAGTCCGGCACAGCCCGTGCCTGTTTCATCGGTGCCTGGTCAGGTACCGGTCAGCTGCTCCACACCGGAGCCTAAGCAATCCGCTCCACCGATGTCCAGTCCAGCTCCAGCCAGCGGGGCCAGACCAGACCAGGGGCGCTACGGGGGGGTTGTTAGAGGGTGGTGGTCACGCCCGGAGCCGGATCCGCCTCCGAGGAGGAATGCCCACCCGGCCCCTCCCCTGTTGGGTTTATGTTGGCACGGTCACAGTCCGCGCCTTTGGGGGGGGGGGTACTGTCACGCCCTGGCTCTAGGGACTCTTGTATGTTGAGCCAGGGTGTTAGTTTCTTTGTGTAGTGTCTATGTTTCGTTTTCTATGTTCTGTTCTAGGTTATGTGTTTCTATGTTGGCCGGGGTGGTTCTCAATCAGAGGCAACGAGAATCAGCTGTTGCTTGTTGTCTCTGATTGGGAACCATACTTAGGCAGCCTGTTGTCCACTTGTGTTTTGTGGGATCTTGTTCCGTGTAGGTTTGTGTATGACCGAGGACTTCACGTATCGTTTGTTGTTTTTGTTATTTGTATCGTGTTGCTAAGTACACTATTAAAGAGATGTACGCATATCACGCTGCGCCTTGGTCCAATCATTATGACGATCGTGACACCGAAGCCACTCCTGCATTGTCTTGGCTGTGTGCTTAGGGTCGTTGTCCTGTTGGAAGGTGAACCTTCGCCCCAGTCTGAGGTGGAGGTCTACAATTTCTTTTCTGAGGTCTTGGCTGATTTCTTTAGATTTTCCCATGATGTCAAGCAAAGAGATTCACTGAGTTTGAAGGTAGGCCTTGAAATACATCCACAGGTACACCTCCAGTTGACTCAAATGATGTCAATTAGCCTATCGGAAGCTTCTAAAGCCATAACATCATTTTCTGGAATTTTCCAAGCTATTTAAAGGCAACTTAGTGTATGTAAACTTCTGACCCACTGGAATTGTTATAAAGTTAATTATAAGTGAAATAATATGCCTGTAAACAATTGTTGGAAAAATTACTTGTGTCATGCACAAAGTAGATGTCCTAACCGACTTGCCAAAACTATAGTTTGTTAACAAGAAATTTGTGGAGTGGTTGAAAAACGAGTATTAATGACTCCAACCTAAGTGTATGTAAACTTCCGACTTCAACTGTAAGCTTATTATCATCATTCATTATCTGTATTACCTTAGTTATATTGCAGTTTTTGTGATGTGATAAGCTTGTGATAGGTGTGTGTGTGTACACCTCACTGTTTGGGTTAGCCTGGTGCAGTGTGAGTATGTGTTGTGCTAATAAACTTACTGTGCTGCAGTCAGTCTCTCTCGCTCTCTCCCCTGGAGGAAGTTGTCACATCAATGGTTATAAAGGAAGGCCTATGACCTGCCCCTGACTCGCCTCAAAGGCAGAGAGAGCGCTTGTCAAATTGATTGATGGTTGAATCTTCTAATAAATGATGCCTGGGCTGCACCCAACCTCTGACCTGTGGGTTTGTCTCACTCATTGGTTTTAATAAGCACACACACACACACACTCTCTCTCTCTCTGCTACTACATCTCTTATCTCTCCTGATCTCTCTCTCTCTCTCTCTCTCTCTCTCTCTCTCTCTCTCTCTCTCTCTCTCTCTCTCTCTCTCTCTCTCTCTCTCTCTCACTGTCCACAAAGAGTGATGGATTTGTTATACAGTAGCAGGGATTGAGTGAGATTTTCTAAGCAAACTCAGGTATTTGGAGGCACAATCCCAAAGTAAACATGCTACTGTAGTTTTAGTAGAGCTAGCAGAAAGAGCTCCAGCTAAACATATTACACTCATAAAACCATCCAAACAACTGCACCACACATAGACAGATTGGTGCACACTGAGACGTTTTTCAGTAATTGTCTCCTAAATGCAATTATGTCCCTCCCTGACATGCCCTCTCGGAGGAAGGGAAGAGTCCTCCTCTCCTCAATGATACCCCTGTCATCCCCCCTTTCAATGAGTCAGGCTGGAGAGAGCCCATTGATTGGTTCAGCCGACTGCACAGCATCGTGATGTCATCAGAGTGAGTCAGAGTCACCACACTACATGCTTGGCGAACGTCTCATTCCAAAATCATGGGCATTAATATGGAGTTGGTCCCCCCTTTGCTGCTATAACAGCCTCTACTCTTCTGGGAAGGCTTTCCACTAGAAGTTGGAACATTGCTGCGGGGACTGTGCAGGTGTTTGATGGGGTTGAGGTCAGGGCTCTGTGCAGGCAAGTCAAGTTCTTCCACACTGATCTCGACAAACCATTTCTGTATGGACCTCGCTTTGTGCACAGGGGCATTGTCATGCTGAAACAGGATAGGGCCTTCCCAAACTGTTGCCACAAAGTTGGAAGCACAGAATCGTCTAGAATGTCGTTGTATGCTGTAGCGTTAACTTTTCCCCTGGAACTAAGAGACCGAACCATGAAAAACAGCCCCAGACCATTATTCCTCCTCCACCAAACTTTACAGTTGGCACTATGCATTGGGGCAGGTAGCGTTCTCCTTGCATCCGCCAAACCCAGATTCGTCCGTCGGACTGCCAGATGGTGAGGCGTGATTCATCACTCCAGAGAACTCGTTTCCACTGCTCCAGAGTCCAATGGCGGTGAGCTTTACACCACTCCAGCCGACGCTTGGCATTGCGCATGGTGATCTTATTCTTGGCATCCTATGACGGTGCCACGTTGAAAGTCACAGAACTCTTCAGTAAGGCCATTATACTGCCAATGTTTGTCTATGGGGATCGCATGGTTGTGTGCTCGATTGTATATACCTGTCAGCAACGGGTGTGGCTGAAATAGCCAAATTCACTAATTTGAAGGGGTTTCCACATACTTTTGTATATATAGTGTATCTCCCCCAGAGTCTTCCGCAACCATCAGGCAGGCCATTCCTGAGAGATCACCCCTGAGGCAACGACCTGGAAAAAGGTCACTCTCATGTCTGTGGACCCTGCCAGCTCTTCTGAAGGGTTAAGATTCTCCTCAAGGCTGTTATGTCTTTAATGACTGCCTGGCATTTTTTTATGCCTGACTCAAAATGAATTAATTTTTGTTGCCTGACTAAAAATGATTAAAAACAAAAGTCATCGTGGGATGCAGTGTGGCAGACATCAACCCAGAGATGTAGAATAACTAGATAGACTAACCGTCAGGCCCCTGTAGCATATCTCTCTGTCAATGCCTATTTAGTTAGTCTCTCTTGAAATAGAAAGTATTACAGTACAATAACTCACTCCTGTACAGAAATACTTCAGAGAGAGAGGGATGATGGTGATTTTCAGAGGAAATATGAGAAATGAAAGTGAACAGGACTAATTTAAAATGAGACGCCAACACCCGCCTCCTACTTGGCTTTGAACCTTATGGAAATCTCGCTACCATGGGAAACTGAGAGAAGAGAATAAATGTTATTTCAATGTTTCTACATTTCTCTCAATGTCCTCAGTTATTAGGCCATCTGCTTACTCATATGATAATAACTGTTAGTATATATATTATGATGTATTTCCAGTGAGCAATTAGATTGAGACATACTTAAACAAATCAGTAGTGATGATGAATCCATACTATTAGCACCACTGCTAGTTATAATAATAATAATATGCCACTTAGCAGACGCTTTTATCCAAAGCGACTTACAGTCATGTTGTGGTATTTAGGATGTATTTAGCGAATGAGAAATGAAGTCAAGATACACAAAGTTACTGTAGACTGACTTTGGGTGGGTGCTTCCCTTATGATTGTCCTACTATTTACACACACACACACACACACACACACCAGACACACTCAACACTTTTAGTTGTGTGTACAGTAGGTACCTACTTTAAGAGAGGGGCTGCTGTTGTTAGCATAATCAGCTGAGCTATAGGCCCAGGCCTAGACCCCCTCTGTCTTGGGCGTCTGAACTCTGAGAGGGGCTCATTAGTTGTTGCCACGGCAATGAATAAAATATGTTATTATGGAGATGTGATGGGCCCCCCTAAGGAGAGGAGGAGTGTCTGGGCCTGAGCAGTGAATTAATAAACACTCGTTGTTTTCCCTTCTCACTCAGCTCCACAACGTGGGCTGGCTGGGCCCATTATAACTCTATAAGGTTTCACTAATTTTCTCTTCATTCACTTTAATTTAAAGAGATTCTCTGGTACTTTTGTATACTTTTTAGCCATTAGTTCTAAAAGTAGTGCTCACGATCCAGAAGTGGACCCCAAAAATGACATACTATGTGCAGATACACTATATATACAAAAGTATGTGGACACCCCTTCAAATAAGTGGATAAGGCTATTTCAGCCAAACCCGTTGCTGACAGGTGTATACAATCAAGGACACAGCCATGCAATCTCCATAGACAAACATTGGTAGTAGAATGACCTTACTGAAGAGCTCAGTGACATTCAACGTGGCACTGTCATAGGATGCCACCTTTCCAACAAGTCAGTTCGTCAGATTTCTGCCCTGCTAGAGCTTCCCCGGTCAACTGTAAGTGCTGTTATTGTGAAGTGGAAACGTCAAGGAGCAACAACGGCTCAGCCGCGAAGTGGTAGGCCACACAAGCTCACAGCACGGGACCTAGGCCCCTTAGTTCCAGTGAAGGGAAATCTTAACGCTACAGCATACAATTACATTCTAGATGATTCTGTGCTTCCAACAGTTTGGGGAAGGCCCTTTCCTGTTTCAGCATGACAATGGCCCCGTGCACAAAGCGAGGTCCATACAGAAATGGTTTGTCGAGATCGGTGTGGAAGAACTTGACTGGCCTGCACAGAGCCCTGACCTCAACCCCATCGAACACCATTGGAACACCGACTGCGAACCAGCCCTAATCGCCCAACATCAGTGCCCGACCTCACTAATGCTATTGTGGCTGAATGGAAGCAAGTCCCTGCAGCAATGTTCCAACATCTAGTGGAAAGCCTTCCCAGAAGAGTGGAGGCTGTTATAGCAGCAAAGGGGGTCCAACTCCATATTAATGCCCAGGATTTCGGAATGAGATGTTTGGTCATGTAGTGTACTTTTGGTCATGTAGTGTATAATATAATAATATGCCATTTAGCAGACGCTTTTATCCAAAGCAATTTTTACGTATGGGTCCCGGGGATCGAACCCACTACCCTGGTGTTACAAGCGCCATGCTCTACCAATTGAGCTACAGAGGACCACTTTGGTGTATGTGCACCACATCATTGCTCTATCTCTCGCTCTGCTGTGTGTGCATCTTGCTAGCTGTCACTCAATGGTGAGGGGCTCAAGATCATTGGCTAGCACTCTAATTGCTAGGGGGCTGGCCCACGTGGGGGAAAATGTAGGGAAAATGGCGCCGCACAGCTTTTAGTAAACAGTCGCTTTCAAACTAGGGATTTCGTTGTTAATTGAGGTAAGACAGTAATTCTGCTCATAGATTATGCATGTATGAACTACGCATTGACACATCCAGCCCAAAGCGGGAGGTTTAAAAAATACTTACTAGTCGCCAAAGTTCCAGAGCATGTCTCAGGCTTTTGCCTTGCCAAACTTACAGGGTTAGAGGATGGATGAAGATTAGCTAAACAACAGAAAAATATTAGATTCAACGTTCAATGGATTGATCTTCTTCAGGTGAAATAGGTGGTCACACATCTGTTCTCAGGCATGTAGTTGATCCAAACGTCCAAAGCGTACATACTCTTGTCAAATAAAATGCTTTATATGATCTTCTCTTTTAACACTCTCAATTATGGAAGCAGAAAAAGCCTATTGTATAAGAGCCAAAGAAGCAGAGCCAAACACAGCACAGACATGGTAATGAAGTCCACAGCACAGACCCCTGGGTAATGGAGTCCATCAGTTTGTCTGGACCCCTGTAGTTCCCCAGAGACTCTTACTGACATCTGCTGCTTCCACTACCTGTGCAGTGGCCATGGAAACAGGAGTTTCAGGCTCATTTACCCCCCATTAACACACACACACGGTACTTTCTCGCATTCTGTAATTAATTTCAGCATTTATGCATGTGTTGGACTTATTATCTCTCTCCTATGTCTTTTGTTACTAAATTGTTTCACACACACACACACACACACACACACACATTTATTTTACTATCCTTGTGGGGACCAAACAGCTGATTCCCATTCAAAATCATATTTCCCCTAAACCTAACACTTAACCTTACCTTAACCCCTAAACCTAACCCCTAACCCTAATTCTAACCCTAATTCTAACCCTAACCCTAAATCTAACCCCTAAGCTTAAAATAGCCTTTTTCTATGTGGGGACCTGGCGAAATGTCCCCACTTGTCCAAAGTTGTGTGCCTTTTGAGGAATTCTGGTCCCCACAAGGATAGTAAAACCAAACACACAATCACATACACACAATCACACACAGAGATAAGCCCCATACCTGAGGGTGCATAATGTCTGGCCCTTATCCCATCTGAGACTAAAGTACATTCTCCTCATAGTCTCCCATTAAGGCAGTAGTCAGATCCCTCGCTATTGTAGCTTACCCCTCCCCTCTCACTATCTCTCTTTCCAAGGACCCCAGGCTGTGCTCTGAAATAGCTGGGTACAGATAGCTTTAGTTCAGCTTAGTGAACCAGACCCAGGAGAGGTACTGCCTGGCCCAGCCATGGCCTTCTCTACCATGCCCTGCTCCACTCTCCCCCTCCTCCACTCTTTCTCTCATCTGTCCTGTAGCCTGAGGGTTAGCTATGCCTCCTGCCATGACTCTCCTCTGTCTGGGCCACTTTTAGATACCAACCTACATCCCATGGGAAACCCTGACTGCCAGAGTTATTTTAGGTTCCTTGGTTAGGCAAGACGGCCCAAAGATTTTTCCTTGGCCGCATGTTGAATGTTTTTACTCTATAATGAGGTTGGGTTGGCCTGGAAGAATGTGAGAACAATGGCTTCTTTAAAGATGAAGCTGTATCTTGTATTTTACACCTGTCACGCCCTGACTCAGGGGACTCGTATATGTTGAGTCAGGGTGTGTATATTCTTTGTTATGTAGTATTTTCAATGTGGGATCTAGTGTGTATGGTTCTATGTTGGCCGGTGTGGTTCCCAATCAGAGGCAGCTGTCGCTCGTTGTCTCTGATTGGGGACCATACTTAGGCAGCCTATTGCCACTATTGAGTTGTGGGATCTTGTTCCGGGTAAGGTTTGTTGTATGTACAACCTTAGGACTTCACTGTTCGTTTGTTTGTTGTTTTGTCGTGTGTTTATTCAGTGTAAATAAACATGTACGGATATCACGCTGCGCCTTGGTCTGTCCCGTCATTGAACGAACGTGACAGAAGATCCCACCAAACGAGGACCAAGCAACGTGCCCAGGCGGAGCGAATAGCCATGTCACAGGTGGGCAATTTGTGGTCATGGGAAGAGATATTTGCGGGGAGAGGACCATGGGCTAAGGTAGATGCCCAGGCAGGAGAGGTGCAACGGCAACACGGAGGAGGCCGGTCGAGGAGGAAGCCCGAGAAGCAGCCCCAATAATTTTTTTTTGGGTGGGGGGGCACACAGGGTGGTTGGCGGAGCCTAGTGTCAGAGCAGAGCCAACTCCTCGTACTCACGTGAGGAAGCGTATGACTGGGCAGGCTCTGGGTTATGCGGAGCTACGTACTGTGTCACCAGTGCGCCGGCACAGTCCTGTATGTCCTGTGCTTGCACCACGCACGTGCCGTGCGAAGATGGGCACCCAGCCAGGACGGGGTGTGCCGGCTCAACGCTCCTGGTCTCCAGTACGCCTCCTCGGTCCCGCATATCCTGTGCCAGTTCTACGAACTGTATCGCCAGTGCGTGTGCACAGCCCAGTGCATCCTGTGCTGATGCCTCACACATACTGTGCGGAAGTAGGCATCTAGCCAGGACGGGTTGTGCCAGCTCTCCACTCCAGACCTCCAGTCCGCCTCCACAGTCCGGCCCGGCCTGTTCCTGCTCCTCGCACCAAGCCAGTGGTGCGCGTCGCCAGCCCGGCCTGTTCCTGCTCCTCGCACCAAGCCAGTGGTGCGCGTCGCCAGCCCGGCCTGTTCCTGCTCCTCGCACCAAGCCAGTGGTGCGCGTCGCCAGCCCGGCCCGGCCTGTTCCTGCTCCTCGCACCAAGCCAGTGGTGCGCGTCGCCAGCCCGGCCCGGCCTGTTCCTGCTTCTCGCACCAAGCCAGTGGTGCGTGTCACCAGTCTGGCCCGGCCCGTTCCTGCCCCTCGCACCATGCCAGTGGTGCGTGTTCCTAGTCAGGTCCGGCCCGTGCCTGCTCCTCACACCAGACCAGTGGTGCGTTTGTCGAGTCCGGCACAGCCCGTGCCCGTTCCACCGGTGCCTGGTCCAGTTCCGGTCAGCTGTTCTACTCCGGAGCCAGAGCAGTCCGCTCCACTGGTGCCTGATCCAGCTCCGGTCAGCTGCTCCACTCCAGAGCAGTCCGCTCCACCGGTGCCTGATCCAGCTCCGGTCAGCGGCTCCAGTCCAGACCATGACGTCAGCCCCTCTCCAGGTTCGGGGTCTCCCACACCAGGGTCCAGACAGGGCCTGGCGTATCGTGGGAGGAAGGAGAGGGGAAGCAGCGCGTCGAGGTCCAGACCAGACCAGGGGCGCAACAGGGAGGCGGAGAGTGAGAGGTCATCACGCCCCGAGCCGGATCCGTCTCCGAGGCGGAATGCCCACCCGGCACCTACCCTGTTATGTTTCTGTTGTGCGGTCGGAGTCCGCACCTTTGGGGGGGGGGGGGGGGGTACTGTCACGCCCTGACTCAGGGGACTCGTATATGTTGAGTCAGGGTGTGTATATTCTTTGTTATGTAGTATTTTCTATGTGGGATCTAGTGTGTATGGTTCTATGTTGGCCGGTGTGGTTCCCAATCAGAGGCAGCTGTCGCTCGTTGTCTCTGATTGGGGACCATACTTAGGCAGCCTATTGGCACTATTGAGTTGTGGGATCTTGTTCCGGGTAAGGTTCGTTGTATGTACAACCTTCACGGTTCGGTTGTTGTTTTGTCATGTGTTTATTCAGTGTAAATAAACATGTACGTATATCACGCTGCGCCTTGGTCTGTCCCGTCATTGAACGAACGTGACAACACCCCAGCTTTTATAAACTATTGCTCCTCTATCTTCCCACTACATTGTTGTCATTCAGACTCAAACTAATGGTCATGCCTGGTTTGCATTGTCTCAGTCTGTACAGTACTTGTATGTGCACTTTTGTCATTGTTGTTTCCTATGTGTTCGTTGCAGACGGAGTTGGACTTAGAGAAAGGCCTGGAGATGAGGAAGTGGGTTCTATCTGGGATCCTGGCCAGCGAGGAAACCTACCTCAGCCACCTGGAAGCATTGCTACTGGTAAGAGGCTGGAACACACACACACACACACACACACACACACACACACACACACACACACACACACACACACACACACACACACACACACACACACTATACAAACTCTCTATCTCTCTCCCTACTGTTCTCTCAGCCTATGAAGCCTCTGAAGGCAGCAGCCACCACATCCCAGCCGGTGCTGACCATCCCTCAGATTGAGACCATCTTCTTCAAGGTGCCTGAGCTCTACGAGGTCCACAAGGAGTTCTACGATGGCCTGCTCCCCCGGGTGCAGCAGTGGAGCCACCACCAGCGCGTGGGGGACCTCTTTCAGAAACAGGTAAGGTCATAAGACAGATCCTTGGGGTGTGCCCATGCCCTGTGTCTGTAGAAGCCTGACAGCTACATGGCTACATGGCAACATGACATCATGAGCCTTATTGAGAACGATACAGGACCTGAATGTATTATACAGTCTGCCTGTGTTTCCGTGTAGCACAGCTCACTGCAGCAACCTTGCTCTGAATGGTAGCCTTCAAATGTCCGATCTGATCAAAATGTATAATCAAAATGGTAAATTAAATCACTTTGATCAACCTCATGAGGTGCAAACTCTATGGGGACAGATGGAATTATCCACCCAGCCCCCCTCACCCAAGAACTTCTGCCATGGAGGCCGGAACCAAACCTATACTGACTGGGTCCATTTCATCATGTTAACAATGGGTCAATTAACTCTGAATGAATCACTCTAATACTCATGCAGTCACTGCAGTAGAGCCGGAGCCGGGCCTGTGATGAGTACTGTGTGTAAGAGGACAGTGCACAGGGAGAAGGAGAGTGTCACCATGCTGTCTTTTCTGCTGAGACTAATGCTACACTGTGTGCTTTGTGTCTCTAAGAAGCAGCCTATAAATAGTGCCATACACCGAGCGATGGGAGGCTTTTATCTCTCTCTTCCCTACTATTAACATCAGAAAGCTTGCTCTCCCCAGAAGCCTGAAGAAGGAAAGGTTGCTGGTTCGAATCCCGGAGCCGATTCGGTGAAATAAATCTGCCGATGTGCCCTTGAGCAAGGCACTTAACCCTAACTGCTCCTGTAAGTCGCTCTGGACAAGAACGTCTGCTAAATGACCAAAACAATTTTTAAAAATGTAAAAGGAGTTTTTTTATTTGTCTGTTTATATTGTCAGGGCGGAACATGCCGGAATCCTTTTCCGCATTTTATTTATTAATTGTTAGTTTTTTTTTCTCCTCTGTCTTTCTCTTGTCTGTGTCTACTATGTGATAATCAGTGGCATCAACCGCTGCGTTTTGCATCTCCCAGGAGACAAGCGTTGAGAGAGGAGCAATTTGGATGAATGGATAGTAGGCTATAACAGAGGAGCAGTTCGTTAGTTCTTCATCTCTCTCTCTCTCTCTCTATCCCTCTCTCTTTTTCTCTCTCGCTCTCTCTCTCTCAATCTCTCCCTCATAGCAGAGGACATCATTCCTGCTCCTCTCCTCTCCTCTCTCAACAGATGTCAGTCAGGGGGAGAAGACGCCGACTCGGCAGAAAAAGTCTCCCTACATGACAGCCATTTAGGGATGGAGGAGGGGAGCGAGAGAGGGATGAGAAGAGAGTCTCTCTGATAGAGCTTTCTCCCCCTGTCTCTAAAGTCTCTGTGTAGCAGACAGGCAGCCAGAGGAGTAGGAACAGCACATCACTATCAGAAAGAAGGGAAGAAAACTCCTGTAAAGCCCCAAAATGGGGCTAAATAATATACAGTAGTGTTTTCCTCTCATTGTCCACTCACTCACTGCTGTTTCTCATGTAGGCCTACTGATACACCATGAAGACTGACATTTCTTTGTTTAGGATAGATGGATAACAATGGTGTATTTTATGAGTAATTTACACAAATGATACAGTATGTACACAGACATGCATCAACATACAGTACTGTACATGCTATGTGTATTGTCAGGTTACATTCTTGTGCTGTTGATGACTTCTTCCTCCCTGTGCGTGCTAGATAAGAAAATCATCCCAACCATGCGGTTACACTCATCATCTTCCATCACCATGCATTCAGCCAGCAACTGTGTGTCCCGAGCGGCTCCAGTGGCTCCCGCTGTGTTGTCTGCAGCTCTATTACCGCCATTCCGGCTCCTCCCCGCCCATAGTGGGATTGTCACGCTCTGAATTCCTGTCCACTGTGGTGCAGATTGATTTTGGCCCGAGGCAGGACTCAGACGCAGTGGGGATAGGATTGCTTGGTGCGCTGAAAATTGCTTTACCCCATAACTTCCAGCATCTCCTGGAAAAACGTGGGTTTCTTTCGCAGAGGGTCTAAATCGATTGTCTCTTTGTGTCGGCAGCGGACATGAAATGCTGTAGAGGTCAGGGGTCACACCAGGGGGATAATGTGTATGTGAGGGAATGGGATGAGCTCATAGGTGATGCTAGAGAGAGGAGAGGGTTTTTAGGAACAGGATCTGGCAGCCCATCGACATACAATGCACTGTAAAAATGTATTATCAGATGCAAATGGACCTGTGCTAAGGGGATTCAGATAAGCCGTGTTCTTGTAGGCTTTTCTCCAGCGTCAACTTAGCTGCATGTGTGTGAAACATCTCTGCGTTTGCCTCAGTTGCCCCCTCTCTCACCATCACACACTCTACCCCATAGAAACCCTGGCAATTTGACTGGTAAACACATTGGTACACTCGCAATGGCTGCCTGGTATTGTGATGCAATAATTTTCATGGTAATGTGGCTCATGGAATGTATTATTTTTAATGTAATTTGAGTTGATTCAATAAATCACAGCACAGATTGATGGGTACACTTCCTGCTTTGCTCCTATGGGTACACTCGCAATTGCCGCCAGTCCACCCATTATGCTATCATTGACTTGAATAGGGACGCCCGTTCTATTCTCTCCCCTCTTTATCCCCTGTTCTCACACTTATATTCTGGAGAACGGATTGGGCTGTTGAGCACTAGGGAGATTAATAGTGTCACTGGCGGGCAGGGTTTCAAGGAGTTCAAAATGTGCTTTTACAGCAACCGTTACCACAGACGTTAATTAACATTTTTACATTTTAGTCATTTAGCAGACACTCTTATCCAGAGCGACTTACAGTTAGTGAGTGCATTATTTTTTTTCATACTGGCCGCCCGTGGGAATCGAACCCACAACCCTGGCGTTGCAAGCGCCATGCTCTACCAACTGAGCTACAGAGGAGGCCCAATTACTCACCCCGCAGGCCTCCACTCCAGCAGGTTAGCGTTTTTCGTCATGAATATTGTTCTGGAGGCAGCTCTGCAGAGTGGTCACTAGCTGGCACAGCCACAAAGTCATAAAATCAGATTTTAAACCTAACCTTAACCCTAACCTTAACCACACTACTAACCCTAATGCCTAACCCTAACCTTAACCACACTACTAACCCAAATGCCTAACCCTAATGTTACGAACCCCGTGGCTTTAAACGTCTAGGGTGGATGGATAAGAGACCCGTAACATAATTCATGCAAATTAGAATCGTGACATGGAACAGTGAGAACAAAAACTACACGACAACCATAAACTACCGTCAAACATAAAAGGTTTATTTTTGAACACACGGTAAAGGTTTGGGAAAAAGGGCTGAGCAGGACCCAAGAAATGAAACAATAGTGTAAAACACCCCTAAACTGATCTTGCCTGCATTAAGAACCGCTAAGCTACTGCTAATCATACAATAATACAGTGGGTGGTCCGCTCAGGTCTAACTAGTGTTTTTAGACAGTTTTCTTCCTACGGGTAATGTATGCCCAAGGGCAACTTGCTTAAATTCCCCTTTTCCCAGAAACACACAAATGAAGACCAGAAAGCACATTTTTGTTTTCATGAATTTTTACAATATAGGCAATTTTGACTTTGCAGCTGGCCATCTAGCGGAAGTTGCTTAGTTCTGCCTCAAGAACAAGACTCATTCCAATAAACGTCAAACTGCTCCTCTCTGCCTCTACCACTACCATGGCAAAAGCCATAGGCCGGAAATGCGCCACGGAAACGCTGGTGCTTCCTGTGGCGAGGATGACACTGCCCCGTCTGTCGAACTGTGTCACCAAGTCTGTGTTTCTGTTTCTCCTTCCCTCGTTATGGTGAACTCTGTTGTTGCACTGCCCAGGGGTTGTAGCTGTCATTTCTCATGTTGTGATTATGCCAACATATCCTTATTTTCCCCCAAAACAGCAATTCAAAAAGAAGGCCTACTTTGGTAAATATGGGCTATGGGACGTGGTGACAGTGTTTTAATGTGACCTGTATTTTGTCCCCTCTCTCTCCCTGTTCGTCTGACAGGCCAGCCAGCTTGGAGTGTACCGGGCCTTTGTGGACAACTATGAGGTTGCCGTGGAGACGGCGGAGAAGTGCTGCCAGGCAAACACGCAGTTCGCTGAAATCTCTGAGGTAATTGGAACTGGCACGGAGGTAGAGGGGGAGGAGGGAGGGAGGGGTGATGACTACTGGTCTGGATGGGTTTTGTCCTTTCATCTTGACTATGGGGGCCAGGGGGTACACCTCTTGTTTTGGTCATGGGAGATGATGACTTGCTGTGGAACAATGCAGAGGGTGAGGGTGTGGTGGTTCATATTTTGTGTTGGGTTTCTGGTTGCGTTGTGAGCCCCCGGCGGCTTGTGATAGAGACCCTGAAGTAGGGAAATGCACTCCATCTTACCTATGTGCAGATGAAGCATGACAGGCTAATATATTCATTAATCATCCCCCAAAACAGTGCTTTACAGTTAGCCTGAAGGGCCCAGCCATGCTAGTGGCAGAACGTCTCTCTCAGATAGGAAGTGGAATTACTTGAACAAAGAAGCATAATGCCAGGGCAAGGACACTAAACATGCCCGTGGTGCTGTCTCATTTTGGGAGAAACTGTTTAGACAACGATGTACGAAGCTGGGGTTACACTTGGTGTAATGCTTCATTACTTGTCAGACTACAGGGGTGAATGGGTTAAACAATCAAATCAAAATTTGACTAAGATCTCTTGACTAGCAGGGTTTTTGAGGGCTTATTTTGGACTAATATTCAAAGTCCTTGTGTAGCCACGATCGCTGATACGTCAAATCTTGTGCCAAAGCTACCGGTGAACATTAAGGATGGTGCCTGGATTTGAGGCAGAGAATCAATCACTCAGTGTTCTTAATGGGAAATGTAACGATGCATGTCTCTCTGCCATCTGAATGTGATGGTGGGAAAAATGCTGATGCGGGCTTGAATTAGGAATTAGGCTGAGGTGAGTGTGTCTGTCCTCAGTGCTGGTGGCCTCTCTGTGTCCCAAATGGCACACAATTCCATTTATAGTGCATTACTTTTGACCAAGCCAAGGGCCAGGCTATTATTATTATTTGCCAGCACCACAATGGTTGTACATGTATGAAGCATGTTGATTAGTTTCAGGTTTTCCCCTGTGTAATGTTGTCCACTGTTCACTCATTCTGTATCCCTACAGAACCTCAAGGTGAGGAGCACCAAGGACTTGAAGGACCAGTCAGCCAAGAACTCTCTGGAGAGTAAGTAGCCAACAGCATTACTGAACATGGGTGTATTCAGGCTGGCTAGCGAGGCTAGTATTCACTAGGATCCTACAGCAAGAAAATAGGCCGAAACGAGGAAGGACCTACCTGTTGCAAAGCATTTCGGTACGGTGCAGAATGTTTTGCTACGGTGTGCACTAATGAATACACCCCATGAAATCACTACCACAGGCTGGTGCACATTTTTTGGAACAGCACTTACAGTATTTGACTGGGGTCATGTCATAATGCTCTGACTTAGGTGGAGTGGTTGTAATATAATTAATGCTGCTGTCTCTCCTTTCTCTCTTTAAGCTCTCCTGTACAAACCAGTGGACAGAGTGACACGAAGCACCCTGGTTCTGCATGTGAGTACAAGCCAGCAGCAAAGCACACAGTTTGCCTTTTGTTCATTTTCCTGCTCTTTTTTATGTACCGGTAACTCTGTGAACCTCACACCACATGATTTTTAAATACTGTCTTGGTTTTAACTGCCAATCCCAATACTTTAACACAGGCTCTGCTGTAAGACACTGTAACTCTGTGTCTCTGGGTGGGTGTGCCTTTCCACTCTGCAGGACTTGCTGAAGCACACGCCCTGCAGCCACCCGGACCACCCCCTGCTCCAGGACGCGCTCCGCATCTCCCAGAACTTCCTGTCCAGCATCAACGAGGAGACCACGCCCAGACGCCAGTCCATGACCGTCAAGAAGGGAGAGGTGAGGCGCAGTGCTGATCTAGGAGCAGTCTTTCCTTTTAGGTCATAATGAATAAGATGACATGGACAGGTGGGGACCTGATCCTAGATCAGCACTCCCACTCTGAGATGATTTATGAATACAGGCTCTGCTGTATCTCTGTTGTTGAATGTTCTTAAGCAGATAGACTCTGGTAGATTGAACATTGCCCTGCCCTCATAACGACCTGGTAGTGATTCCACTGAAGGGGGGCCGTATGGGATGACCTAATATGGTGTCAAACGCAATATATGCCCAAATATGGCAATAATAAAAAGTCCCCTGCACATGCCTATTAGGAACCCCACTGTTTGCTCTCTGTGCTGGATCTCCATCCCTCAAACCCAACATCTTCCCCCTAGAGACCACCCGGGTTGGAGTTGCACATGAATGGATGTCATTTGATTGACAGCTGGCGTGACACCGGTGTTCATAATGCCCCATATCGAGCCTCTTATCTCTGACTGGGGAGTACATATTAATTATTAATGTTGAGGCTCCTCCCTGCCATTACTGCACCCCATCATTACCCCCCCCCCCCCCCCCCCCCCCCCCCCACACACACCCTTATCCTCATGGGCCCCATTCGCAGCTCTGTCTGCCCAGACCACACCGATCATCAAATATTGATCAAGGAGTACATCGAACCAATGGGCCTCATTATATTGTGCTTTAGCAGCTAGTGTGTGAGAATATGCCTAGGGTGTGTGTGTGTTTTACCCCACTATGTTAAGATATACACAAATATAGCATGTGGCTCCCTAAATAGTGCACTACTTTTGACCAGGGCCCATAAGGTTGTGCACTATATAAGGAAATAGGGTGCCATTTGGGACTCATACAGTCGACTTGGGATATCTCCAGCTTTACAGGAATGTCCAGTCACTATAGGTCAGCTTTTTTTTGTGCTATTTGAGCCTTTTATACACAATTAATTGCTATCATTGGCTATTCAGAAGAATGCTAAATCGACAATACTTCCAGTGCATCGGTCCAACACTCACTGAAAGCTGTTGAGGTCTAAATAGCAGTGGTCCTGTGGTTAGCTCTGCTTTTGGACCGGCTCTTAGGTTGTCTTGACTTGAGTGTGTAACAGTGGTTAAGGAACTGAACCATTCAAGTGTGGACTGATAACCAGATATAGTAGAGCGGTTGTGGTCTGAGAGAAGAGGTTGTGATGGCAGCGGTAGATGACACTCATCTGGATCAGGGTTAGAGAACCTAAAGTGTGGTTTTGGAGTTGGGGTTAGGGTAGAGTTAGGACTGTAGGTTTAAATGGGTTGCTGTCTGGATCTGAGCCATTGTGTGACATTCCCTTTAAGAGGGTCCAAAAATGTTGACAGGTTAATTTAAAAAGATTTTTAAAAAAAACATGTTGATATAAAAGTATTTCCATTGTAAGTCTGATATGGAAATGTAGTTGTACTGACTAAACTAACTGACACCTCCCGAGTGGCGTAGTGGTCTAAGGCTAGCTGTGCCACTAGAGATCCTGGTTCGAATCCAGGCTCTGTCGTAGCCGGCCGCGACCGGGAGACCCATGGGGTGGCGCACAATTGGCCCAGGGTAGGGGAGGGAATGGCCGGCAGGGATGTAGCTCAGTTGGTAGAGCATGGCGTTTGAAACGCCAGGGTTGTGGGTTTGATTCCCGGGACCACCCATACGTTAAAATGTATGTGCACATGACTGTAAGTCACTTTGGATAAAAGCGTCTGCTAAATGGCATATTATTACTACATCCCTTGTCTGAGTGGAGAGGTGTACTGTACCTATAGGGTTGGTGTTGGAGAAAGAGGGGCCTTCCTACATTTTACATTTTAGTCATTTAGCAGACACTGTTATCCAGAGCGACTTACAGGAGCAATTAGGGTTAAGTGCCTTGCTCAAGGGCTCATCTACAGATTTTTCACCCAGTCGGCTCTGGGATTCAAACCAGCAACCTGACCTTTAGGTTACTGGCCCAACGCTCTTAACCGCTAGGCTACCTGCCGCCCCTCCCCAATCACACAGTAGTGTCATGCAGTAGATTGTAACCTGTTGTGCTTTGTTCAGTGGAGGCGTGCAGGAGGAGAGCAGCACATGTGTCACCCAGGGGCCCTGCCCAGCCAGATGGGGGGGTGTAGAGGGGTGGGGCCAAAAATAAGATGCTTAATTAAAATGCAAATGAGCCTGGTGGCCTCTGAAGCCTGACTCTCTCTCTCTCTCTCACTCTCTCTCTCTCTCTCTCTCTCTCTCTCTCTCATACTCTCTCTCTCTCATACACTCTCTCTGTCTCTCTCTCATACACTCTCTCTGTCTCTCTCTCTCACACTCTCCTCTCTCTCTCTCTCGCTCTCTCTCTCTCTCTCTCTCTCAGCCAGTGAGGAAGTTATCTATCACAGACCATCATGGCTGCCTTCATTATCTATCTAATGAATAATTAGAGCTGCCATTGGGAATTAGTAAATTAGCAGTGTCTCATCTCCTTGGCAGGGATATCAGACTGAATGTCAATCAGGCTGAGGACTGGCACAGAGCAGGTGTCCTACCATGCGTCTGTGGTGCCTGTGTGATGTGTTGCTTTCTGGATCTGAGCCATTGTGTGACATTCATTTTAAGAGGGTCCACATCATAGAATTAGGAATTAGAATACTAGAATGGACATGAACCTTCTTATAAGGGGATAAAGGTCAGCCATGTTGGTCAGGGAGCCAGTGCTGTCACAAGATATTGTGTAAAATAATGAATTTGAATAAATTATCTGCACAGCATTTTTGTTAGCTAGCTAGCCAGACAGTTTTAGACGAATGTACTGCCAATATGCCAACATTCCATTCAAATGCAGTCAATCCACAGCCATACGTTGGCTGAAATCAGTTGATGATAGATAGGACTTAGACAAGTTGTAAATGCAATAAGTACTGATAATGTACCATATAATAGTAATTTAATAGGATCTCTATGGTCCACACATACTGACTGGTACAGTAACGGCCCTGCATTTTGCCGGGGGAGACCCTGTTAGGTGTGTGTGAGCGTGGATGACTCACACACACAGAAGCATATTCTCCTCCTCACCGGTGTTATGGCAGTGGTAATGACTGATCATTCAGGAGAGGTGCCCACAGGGGGGGCTGTGGGGAGGGTGGCAGGTTGACATTTATTGGGATGACTCATGTACTAGAGGCAGCTCTGCAGAGTGGTCACTAGCTGGCACAGCCACAAAGTCATAACATCTGATTTAAACCACACCCTAATGCCTAACCCTAAATTAAGACCAAAAAGCACATATTTGTTTTCATGAATCTGGAAACCGCTCAGTTCTGCATCCTGGGCAAGACTCATGACAATAAACGTCAACCTGCGGGAGGGTGGGGGGAAGAGGGGGAGGGCTACGATTGGCTGGGGCTGGCTGTGACATCATGCTTCGCAGGCCCTGCTGCCACGGTGATGTGAGGCTGGGGGATCGCTGGTGCGTGGCCTGTGCGGAGAGGGGTTGAGAGGGGGGAGACGAGGGAGGAGGGGGGTTGCTTGTGTACCTCTACCCCTCAGGTCTAGCAATATTAGACCATTCATTGTAGGGAGTGCAGTAAATCTGTAAATAGTTCTATGTTTTACCTCTTCAGAAATGCCCTGGGCATATGATACGTAGTCATGCCTCTGACTGTCCTCAAATGATCTACAGCAGGGCTGCCCAACCCTCTTCCTGAAGATCTACCGTCCTGTGGGTTTTCAGTCCAACCCTAATTTAACACACCTGATTCTACTTATTAGCTGCTCAACAAGACCTTAACTAGCTGAATCAGATATGCTAAATTAAGGTTGGACTGAAAACCTACAGGACAGTAGATTTCCAGGAAGAGGGTTGGGCAGCCCTGATCTACAGTATGTGCTTTAATCAAATATGACCTCCTTATGTTATGTTTAAGTATGCTTTACTTAGAATATCCACCTCAGGTGCTGTAAACATGCTGGACCTGTTCAGAAATGTACCCCCTATAGTCCTTCATGAGGTTAGACAAGGACGTCATATAGAACATTGTTCAGACATTGGCCCTCTATGCTGGTTCATTTTATACCCAGAGCTGTAAATGTACAGCTGTGTGGAAAAACAACATGACTGCCCCCTTCTGGTTCATGGTGGCATAACAGGCCACACAGTATCTCAACCAATGCAGATTAGGAAGTTGATGATATTGCTTGATTAGCTGATGTATAGATTTGTTCTGATGACTGATGATGGCTGATTCTGTGATTCTGTAGAACCGCCAGCTGCTGAAGGACAGCTTCATGGTGGAGCTGGTGGAGGGAGCCAGGAAGCTCCGCCATGTTTTCCTCTTCACCGACCTGCTGCTCTGTGCCAAGCTGAAGAAACAGATCGGAGGGTAAAATATTTTTCTGTTTATATTTCACTCTTTTTTTCTTGTTCTTTTAACATATTCCAGGAGTGTCTATCACAGGATGCTAGGATTTCATATCTCCATCTCTCTCTCTCTCTCTCTCTACCCCCCTCTCCCTTTCTCTTTACCCTCTCTCTCGTTCCCTCGTCTCTCCCCCTCTCTTTTTCTCTCTCTCTCTTTCTCTACCTTCCTTTATCCCTTCCTCTCTGCAGGAAGAGTCAGCAGTATGATTCCAAATGGTACATCCCTCTGTCAGACCTGACCTTCCAGAACGCAGATGACTCAGAGCCTCTGCCCATCCCCCAGGTGCCTGACGAGGAGCTGGATGCCATGAAGGTCAAGATCTCTCACATCAAGAGTGAGATCCAGAGAGAGAAGGTATTTCACATATAGTGTATATGCACACACACACACGTATGAATGCACACACACACACACACAGTGATACACCCACGTATGCACACACACATGCATGCACATACGAACACACAGATACACTCTCACACACATGCACTCTCACACACACAAGTCAGTAAATGTAGTTGACAGGACTTTTGCAAATGTGTTGTCTCTGTCTGTGACCTACAGAGAGCCAACAAAGGGTCAAAGGTGATTGACAGGTTGAGGAAGAAGCTGTCGGAGCAGGAGTCTCTTCTGCTGCTCACCTCGCCCAGTATGGCCCTCCGAGTACACAACAGGAACGGCAAGGTGAGCCCCCTGTCTTCCTCTGTATCATCATCAACAACAAATGATCATCATCACTATCACCCTCTTCATCATTACAATCATCATCAACAACAGCAACATTATCATCATCATCATCATCATCTTTGATAGGCTGTATATGAGTGTATTGTATCTAAGTGTGTGCTGTGTTTCAGGGTTACATGTTCCTGATGTCATCAGACTATGAGCGGGCCGAGTGGAAGGAGACGATCCGGGAACAGCAGAAGAAATGTAGGTGTCCCTCAGTATTCTAATGTTACTAAACTTGCTCTTCAGGAGCACTCTGTAAGCAATGTGTGTTTGAGTAAGGAGCAGCCATTGCATCAGATTAGATGAAGATGGACAATAATGTGACCTGAATTCCATGGTGTGTAGACCAGTGAACCAACCTTCTTGATGCATTGAAACCACTAATATTTGCTCACATGCATCGTTAACTCCCATACTGTGTGGGTGACTGACCCTTGACCCTGTGGTTGTATGGTCCCTGTCCCAGGCTTTAAGAGCTTCTCCCTGACCTCCATGGAGCTACAGATGTTGACCAACTCCTGTGTGAAGCTGCAGACCGTCCACCACATCCCACTCACCATCAACAAAGAAGGTCAAGGTACCAGATGTTCCTCAATGTTCTGCTCTGAGGTCTTCGGTCAGATGCATCAACTATGTGGAGAAACATTCTATGCAAAGAAAAATAAGAACAAAACAGAAGTTATTGATGTCATAACAGTTTGCAGTTTGAACATGTTTGTAGTTTTTGGTCTCTTTTTAGTTTAGTTTCTAGAGTGAAGATAATATAGTTATTTTGGGTTCTTTATGGTTTCATTCCCCATTCCAATGTGAACATTTCATTCCTATCTAATCCTTCATCTCTCTTACCTGTGTGTATTTCCAGAGGATGAATCGCCTGGCCTCCATGGATTCCTGAATGTAATCGTCCACTCTGCCTCCGGCCTCAAACAGAGCTTGAGTGAGTGACCCTCCCCCTCGAAGGGTCTTTATATTGTACATAGTTTACAGGAGTAATAACACAGGCATTAGGCTACATTCCAAATGGCACCCTATTCCCTTCATAGTGCACTACTTATGACCAGGGCCCATAGGGCTATATAGGGAATAGGGTGCCATTTAGGACGACACAGCTGTCCTGTAGCACAGGGTCCTGTAGCACAGGCATAAACATTAAACACACCTGTTCTGGTAAATGTCATATAATTTGATAGAGGTTACTGATAGCACAGAAGTTTAAACATATGTTCAACATATATTGAATGTGATTTTGTAATAATTTTGTTATTACATTGTTCTCAGCGACATTACTATGCGTAACTTTTATGACAATTAATTTACAGAGGGTATCACAGAGCTCACATTGAGAAGTTTCCCTGAACAAAATGGCAGATTTTTTATTCATGTTGCTAGGATGGCAATGTCCATTCTAGTGTTCTATTTAATTCTGTGGGGTATCGTCATAGAGACAACAACTAGTCCTAGTCTTTTGGGTGAATCTAACTGTGACTGTATCTCATCTTCTCCTCTCAGATCTGTACTGCACGTTAGAGGTGGACTCCTTTGGCTACTTTGCGAACAAAGCCAAGACGCGGGTGTATCGCTACACCACAGAGCCCAAATGGAACGAGGTAAGAACTTATTACCCGACATATGCAGAGTACAGTATCGGCATTTTTTACTACCAAGGCCATGACATCTGGTGTTGTGGCGTAAGTGTCTTAATGAGAAAGCCTAACAGCAGAGAGCCCAACTGCAGCAGATGTTTCACATCCAAGCACACACACACACACAGTCACTTATTACCAGAGCTGAACACCGCAAACACAAAGTGCTTGTGCGTCATGAGAGCTATGAGAATGCGCACGACAGCTTTGAGACAGAATCAGCGAATTTGTTCATCTGCAGCAGAAATGTTCCATCAGACTCAAGGAACTGCTTCTGCTGCTTAATTACTTTGCTCAGCAAAGTGGAAAGAGTGTTAGCTAATGAGGAGCTTCTGATGATGACTCATGTGTGTGGAAATGTTAATGGAATGCGTTGCGGCCCCGAACCATGTGGAAACCATATGCAGGGTGTTCTTTTACATAATTAACGGGAATCTCCATCAGCGGTCCATTCTGCTATTCACAATGCGTTTACATTTACAGCACGTAACTGCTAACGTATACAGATTAACCCTATTGAGACTTTCATGCCAAAGACTTAACTACCAATGTAAAGAATAACTGCATCTCTTCTTCTGTCTGCTCCCTTATCAGAGTCCCACAGTAGATGGGCATCATCTTCACCAGTCCTGAAACCCCTCATTCTTTACATTGGTCCTTCGAGGAATTACTGTAAAGCTACTTTAGGCTATGTGGTTTTGGTATGCAGATAGGCCCCATAAATCTATGTGGTTTCTGTGGCGTTCTCTCTCTCTCTCTCTCTCTCTCTCCACTCTCTTTCCTCCCTTTCTCCCCCATCTCTCTCCCCTCTCTCTCTCCTCTTTCTCTTTCTCCCCCTCATTTCAAATGTCATATGTCTATATACAGTGTTGTAACGATGTGCAAATAGTTAAAGTAAAAAAGGGAAAATAAATAAACATAAATATGGATTGTATTTACAATGGTGTTTGTTCTTCACTGGTTGCCCTTTTCTTGTGGCAACAGGTCACACATCTTGCTGCTGTGATTGTACACGGTGGTACTTCACCCAATAGATATGGGAGTTTATCAAAATTGGGTTTGTTTTTGAGGGAAATATGTGTCTCTAATATGGTCATACATTTGGCAGGAGGATAGGAAGTTCAGCTCAGTTTCCACCTCATTTTGTGGGCAGTGTGCACATAGCCTGTCTTCTCTTGAGAGCCAGGTCTGCCTACGGCGACCTTTCTCAATAGCAAGGCTATGCTCACTGAGTCTGTACATAGTCAAAGCTTTCCTTAATTTTGGGTCAGTCACAGTGGTCAGGTATTCTGCCACTGTGTACTCTCTGTTTAGGGCCAAATAGCATTCTAGTTTGCTCCGTTTTTTTGTTAATTCTTTCCAACGTGTCAAGTAATTATCTTTTTGTTTTCTCATGATTTGGTTGGGTCTAATTGTGTTGCTGTCCTGGGGCTCTGTGGGGTCTGTTTGTGTTTGTTTACAGAGCCCCAGGACCAGCTTTCTTAGGGGACTCTTCTCCAGGTTAATCTCTCTGTAGGTGATGGCTTTGTTATGGAAAGTTTGGGAATCGCTTCCTTTTAGGTGGTTGTAGAATTTAAGGGCTTTTTCTGGATTTGGATAATTAGCGGGTATCGGCCTAATTCTGCTCTGCATGCATTATTGGGTGTTTTATGTTGTGCACAGAGGATATTTTTGCAGAATTCTGCATGCAGAGTCTCAATTTGGCATTTGTCCCATTTTGTGAATTCTTGGTTGGTGAGCGGACCCCAGACCTCTATAACTGATTCAAGTATTTTTAGCCAGATCCTAATTGGTATGTCCAAATGTTATGTTCCTTTTGATGGCATAGAAGGCCCTTCTTGCCTTGTCTCTCAGATCGTTCACAGCTTTGTGGAAGTTAACTGTGGCGCTGATGTTTAGGCCGATGTATGTATAGTTAAGGCCGAGGTCTGACAGAATCTGTGCAGAAGATCTAGGTGCTGCTGTAGGCCCTCATTGGTTGGGGACAGAAGCACCAGATCATCAGCAAACAGTAGACATTTGACTTCAGATTCTAGTAGGGTGAGGCCGGGTGCTGCAGACTGTTCTAATGCCCTCGCCAATTCGTTGATATATATGTTAAAGAGGGTGGGGCTTAAGCTGCATCCCTGTCTCACCCCACTGCCCTGTGGAAAGAAATGTGTGTTTTTTGATAATTTTAACCACAATCTCTCTCTCCCCTCTCTCTTTCTCCCCTCTCTCTCTCCCCCCCCCCCCCCCTCTCTGTACTCCAGGAGTTTGAGATAGACCTGGAGGGCTCTCAGACCCTGAGGCTGCTGTGTTATGAGAAGAGCTACAACAAGACCAAGCAGATCAAAGAGGATGGAGACAGCACCGACCGCATCATTGGCAAAGGACAGATCCCGGTACGTCTCTGAGTCACCGTAACACTGTAACGGCACCATGGTGACATAGCCAGATAACGTTATGGTTATGTCAGTGTGGTGAGATTGTTGTCTGAATGTCCTAGATGTGGACTGGACACTGCTGAGTGCTCAGCTGATTCGATTAATGAATTAGCTTATTATGTAAGTAGTAGGATAGACTGTCTACAGTGATTAGATGTGTTTTAGATTAATTTAATAGAAAAACATATCTTAGAGGGTAATGTGTCAGTAAACCATCCTGACCGTGTTTGAATCAGGGTCCATAATTCATGTGTTCTACCTGTAGACGTCATGTCCTGAATACACCTCCGATGAGTCTGATCCAACCTGATCTGGCAACCCTGTCTCTCCTGCTGAGGCTCTCACACTTTCAATTGTAAATGTGTGTGTGTGTGTGTGTTTTTTTTTTTTGCTTGTGGGTTTTGAAGGATGGAGTACTGGATAGGGGGCTCACTGGTATAGGCTTTTTGTACATAGCCCGTTTTGTTTCAAGGAAAGGCAGGTATCCTTGGTTAGTGTTTCAGAGCCTCTGCTTGGATCTGGTCCACTTCTGGGGGGTGTACTGTTCCCTGTTCCCCTCCCCCCTCCCTCACTCGGCCAGGTGTGTGTGTGTGTATGAAAACTTGTCAGTATTCAGTGGTGTACAATAACACACATACGTTTACCCGACCTGGGGCAGTCTTGTAGGGTGAAGTTGCCCCTAAACGCTGCTCTTGGGTCAGTTTTGAATTTCCCCACTAATGGTTAAAGTGAGGAATGGGGAGGGGTAGCTGATCCTAGATTTGTACCTAGGGGGAAACTATACCGCAGAGCAGAGGTAGTCATGGTGGCTGGACCCAGGTAGTTTCTCTCTGGTTTGTCGCTTGCTCGTTAATCAAACAAAGCTAAAATGTGGATATCCATCTCCCTCTAGGGCAGGGTTCTTCAATTCCGGTCCTGGAGGGCCGAAACACCTCTGTTTTTCATCCTCTCCTTCTAATCAGGGGCTAATGCAGTTCACACAGAAACACACACAGCAGGACGCCATGTTGCCAAAGCTGAGCAGCTTAGTATGAAAGTCCCAGCAGATTATTTATTTATTTATTTTGACAGTGAGCCCTGTATGCGCATCAATACACACTATTCAGATCAACTTTTCACCCAAACACACAAGGGGGGAATGTGGTGCACTGGGCTCGTCCAGTGGGGGCGAGGGGGGACACCCAGTCCCAGTGGAGAGAGTGGTTGGTGGGGTTATCCAGGGCTTCACTGGGGTCCATTGGGGGGATGGTGCATTTTACATTTTACACTAACGCTAACTTAAGCAGAGGGATTAGCTGTTACTAATAGAGGAGAGAGGGAAGGAAAGGAGGCGGAGACAATGGAGAACAGAGGGGAGGAGACAGAGGCGCAGAGGGAGGAGTTTGTCGTCCTGAAATGCAATCCACACCTGTGTGTATGAGAACGTACTTTAGCTGGCGATCCTGGCACACACACATCCACACACACTCCTCAGAGCGAGCGATTCAGGTGTGTGTAGGGCGAAACAGAGCTTTTCCTGGACCACTGGAGACCATTATGGCGGGGCTGAGTTAGGCTACACACTGGGACTGGACACAGAGAGACACCGTGCTGAGACTACAGCTCTACTGATGGAGGAGGAGAAAGAGGAGGAGAAAAGGAGAGGGGCAGTATGGGCCTGATAAGAGCGTCTACCACCAACTCCCTAAATCTACAGAACTTGTACACTAGACTTTGTCAGTCTTTGTCAGTCCCTCTACACAGGGAGCCATGGTAGATGAAGTAGTTGAGGACAGAGGAGATGGGATGCAAGGCCTGCACTCTGTTGGCCAGACACTGCAGCAGTGTCAGTGTGGAGGGTCACTAGGGAGAGGGGAAAGGAGGTCCCCAGCCTGGGGTGAGGGGAGAAGCTGTGGAGAAGTATACGCATTGCCCTGCTGAGAGGCAAGGTAACCCCCATCACTGGAGGACGACTGATGTCCGATGCTTTGACAGAAGCAAATAATATACAGGGAGGGGAACGGGCAACTGTGTGTGTGTTTGTGTGTGTTTGTTTTTTTGTCTACATTCCAGCGACAGACAGCCCATGTTAGCCGTCCTTTCAGTTTGCACAGTGACATACTGATCGCCTTTGGCTCAACCTCATACAGCCAACGTTTCCTTGTCCTTTTACTTTTTTGATGTGCTCGTGCGTACTTTCCTCTGTTGAACTGATACGGACCTAGAGAGGGACCCTACGGGTGTACTGTTACTGTAATGGCCCAGGAGATTGAGATGATTCAATGAAGTGCTGGGAACATGATCCGGCGCTGCACGTGATCAGATGGAGCTTAGCCAAGATGGGGATGAAGGAGAAAGGTACACGATGAACTGTGTGTTTGGTGTGTAGTGTGGTGGGGTACGGTGTGCCCGGCTGAACTCAGTCCAGATGGCAGGATCTGTTTCTCTGTTTGTCCAGAGTGGACAGGAGGATAATTAGATGACTAATGCAGGAGGTGATAGGGGCCAGATTCGCTGACCAACTGAAACCTGAGGCTGCACTTGAATGCGTTATAACGTCACTGTGTGAAGAAAATGATAAACAATTGGTGTATTCAGTCCTAGGGAAGAAGGTAGCCTAATGGTCTTGTTTTTTTGTCTCTGTGTCTTTATGAGTCTGTTAGTGTCTGAGTGTATTGGTGTACTAACCAAGGATTTTGTTCTGTTTTTGCCCCATCCAGCTGGATCCGCAGACGCTCCAAGGCAAAGACTGGCAGAGAACGCTTATCCCCATGAACGGGGTGAGTGTGTGTGTGTGTTAAGGTGTCAGCCCCGTTGAAGGGATGAGTCTGTAACGTGTACGCTGGGAGTCGGGAAGCAAGTACAGGGAGTGAATTTAATAATACATTTAACAAAACAAGAAACACGAGTAGCGTAGAGACATGAAACACAAACACAGAGTAAATAACGCCTGGGGAAGGAACCAAAGGGAGTGACAGATATAGTGGAGGTAATCAGGAAGGTGATGGAGTCCAGGTGAGTCTCATGAAACGCAGGTGTGCGTAACGATGGTGGCAGGTGTGCGTAATTGTGAGTGAACTGGCAACAACGAGCGCCAGAGAGGAGGAGCGGGAGTAGACGTGACAGAGTCTGTGTTTGTGCCATGCCATGTGATCCTTTAAATGTGTGTTTCTTATCTTAACAATTATCTAAACGTATCTTAACTGATCCGTATCTTATCTTACTTCTCTTGTCAGTGTAAACTGGTTTAAACTGTCATTTAACCCTTTCTCTCTCTACTCCAGATCGAGGTGAAGCTCTCTATGAAGTTTACTAGCCGAGAGTTCAGTCTGAAGAGGATGCCGTCACGTAAACCCATGGGCGTGTTCGGAATCAAGATCTCCACGGTGACCAAGTGAGTTCAATAGTCCCCTCATATAAATATATCCCGAACACACTCCCTGACCACCTGGCCATCTATACAGTAACCATGGAGAAAGCCTGCCGTAAGACAGCTGGTGAACGCAAGTGACCCAAGTGAATGTCATAGCCTAATCTAAGAGCCAGAGAACCTCTCTGAGGAAAGGAGGAGGGAGAAGATGGGGAGGGGGAGAGAAACGGATGGACAGGATTCCCTGTTGAGATCGTGAGCCTCTCATCCCAGATAATCCCAACTACATTCCCATGTCACTACTCACTCACTCCCCCAGGCACCAGCCCTGGTCAGGAACTGACCTCTTCCCCTTCTCCTTTAGTCTAATAAGAGACTAGAAACATTGTTTCTGGTGTACAGCTGGCAAAGCTTCTGGCAAGCCACTGATTAGAGTGGTCTCTGTCTGCATCCCAAATGGCACCTACTCCTTATACAGTGCACTACTTTTGACCTGGTCAAAAGAGAGACTGTGATTTTAGGGAAGGTAAATGTTATTGATAAGAAGTCAACTCACAGTCTCCCATAGATGGAAGAAACGATTTTCCTACTTGCATTTCTCCTTGTGGACACTGCTCTGAGGTTGTCAACAGAGAATAAAGAGAGGGGGTACGGTTGAGGGGTAAATAGGGACCATGAAAGACGGGGTGAAGGGACATTCAGATTGAGTGTGAGAGAGAGAGTGCAATATGTAGTTAAACAGTAAGGGACAGTTGAGGCAAAGATGGTGGATAAATAAAGATAGTTCACTTCAGGCCATTTACCATTGAATAAAATGGCCAGTTCCTGTCTACTTAAGGGAGTGGCTCTCCCATAGACACCAATGCGATAGCAGCTGGGTCTGGTCTACTTAGTTCATTGACTTCCATTGAAACAGAAAAAATGAGGGAGTGGGGATGTCTTGCTTCCTCTTCCGTCTCTGGTTGAGGCCAGGCTTGTGGCCGATGTTGGTGAGTGACGCTAATTGGATTGCTGGTAATGAGCGGACTAACAAGGTTTAACAGCAGAACCAATTAAGGCTGTAGAGACAACATGCCACCAATAACACCAACAGAGAACCACCACCATCACTACTGGGACTTAGAACAACTACCTAGCTACACAGAGCTGCCCGCCAGCTCGACCTGCCCATATGTAGTACATGAACCCACAACAAAACACACAGTGGTAATTGTGCATTTTGTATCCATAATAATAATAATAAACATGATAAAGTACACAGCCGATGTGTGTTTATATTTTGGGTTCACATACTACAACAATGCAGCGAGAGCCAACCGTACAGTACACACATTATTGTCAGTGGGAATATCCAACCAAAAAATCATTTGGTGAGTGTGTGTATCCCCATGCCCTCTGGTATGCCAATCCTTAATTGTGTGTGTTTTCCCCATGACAGACGGGAGCGCTCCAAGGTGCCCTATATCGTCAGACAGTGTCTGGAGGAGATTGAGCGGAGGGGGATGGAGGAAGTGGGCATCTACCGGGTCTCAGGGGTGGCTACAGACATCCAGGCCCTGAAGGCTGCCTTCGACACCAGTGAGTACCAATACCTTACTTCCCCCTGGCTCCCCCTCTCAGTGGAGCCCTGGACCTGGGAATAGGCTACAGTATAGCATATGGATACTCTGTGGACGTTCTGTAGCTTGGTGGAACCAGCTGTGATACGTGAAGTGAAATAGAATAACAAATGCAGCCATCAGTCTGGTTCTATCAGGCTGGCCTCTCTGTGCATTCAGTCTGTTGGACTGACTACTATCAAATCCATGTGTCCTGCCCTGCTGTTTCCCCTAGGTGAACTTCTGATTATGGTGCTCCGTTGTTGGGAATCATGGGTACATTTTCTGGTTTTGCTTTTTTTAAAAAGCCTAAAAGAGTTTTAGTGCTTAACCCAGTTTTCTTTCTTCATTTAGGCTTACTAATTCCTATGTGTGGGTGTGCTAGTTGAGCATGTTGTGCGTGTGTGACCTTGTGTGTCTGTGTGTGTGTGCATTTGTGTGAGTACGTATATGTGTGGTGATTTCTCTGATTACGACATTTACAGCTTGCTTTGGGGAGCATGTTGCGTCCTCAGCCAGTGTCTATCTGCCAATGAACTGAGGTGCAGTGTGTTTTTGTGAATGGCAGAATTGACAGAGGCTATATGTCTCCTGCTCCATTGTTGCCATGGCTACACTTTCTGCCTGTCTTTCTGAGCTTTGTCATCTTTCCCACAGACAACAAAGACGTGTCTGTGATGATGAGTGAGATGGATGTGAACGCCATCGCTGGCACTCTGAAGCTGTACTTCAGAGAGCTGCCAGAACCCCTCTTCACTGACGACCTGTACCCCAACTTCGCAGGAGGCATTGGTCAGTCTCATGCCTTTGACAGCCAACAGCAACTTATACCTATAACATTATCATGGTATAACTTAGCACTCAGGTTAATGTGTGAATGTCTGTCTCTCTTTCTGCAGCCCTGTCTGACAGCGTTGCCAAAGAGAGCTGCATGCTGAATCTACTGTTGTCGCTGCCAGAACCCAACCTGGTTACATTCCTATTCCTGCTGGATCACTTGAAGAGGTACGCACAGACATAGGGCTATGTACAGACATAGAGCTATGTACAGACATAGAGCTATGTACAGACATAGAGCTATGTACAGACATAGAGCTATGCACAGACATAGAGCTATGCACAGACATAGAGCTATGCACAGACATAGAGCTACCCAAGACATAGAGCTACCCAAGACATAGAGCTACCCAAGACATAGAGCTACCCCAGACATAGAGCTACCCCAGACATAGAGCTACACTTAGACAAACACAGGCATTTAGAGACAAACCGATCCCAAGCAAACAAGCAGAACCTAAACTCTTTATTCGATTGCGTAATAGAGTGATTGTTATGTCCTTTCACGTGGTGTATTACCATGAACCACCATTCACCCTCTGTCTCTCCCCGCTCCCCAGGGTGGCTGACAAGGAGAGCATCAACAAGATGTCCCTCCACAACCTGGCCACAGTGTTTGGCCCCACCCTGCTGCGGCCTGCAGAGAAGGACAGCAAGATCCCCACCAACCCCACGCAGCCTATCAGCATGGGAGACAGCTGGTCCCTGGAGGTCATGTCACAGGTAGGCGATATAGTATCTCTCCTCTCTCTGTCCCCCCATACTTCTTATTTGGTATTGATGTCCCTCTAACTGTCCGTCTGTCCCCCCAGGTCCAGGTGTTGCTGTACTTCCTCCAGCTGGAGACCATCCCCACGCCGGACAGTAAGCGTCAGAGCATCCTCTTCTCCACCGAAGTGTAGAGGGTTCCACAGGGAGAGAGAGGGTGGAATAGAGACTCAAACTGAGTCTACAGTACAGTATGTCCATTTGGGAAGGCTACTGAGAGTGAGAATGGCCCTAGCTGGACTGGACTGCAGCAGGAGATTTCTTTGCCGCTGATTCTGGCCGTATCCTGCAGAGGGCGCCACCACCCCCTCTGAGAACAAGAGTTGGACACCAATCCCTCTGTTGTACCACACATCTGATGATGATAATGCATTATTACATCACACCAAATTGCTAGTGTGTCTCTCTGTGCCTCTCTGACGTAACATATCCTCCTCTCTTCGCTCTGTCTTTTCACTCTCATGTTGAAGCGATACAGCAGGTGTCTGGAATGAATGACATTACTGAACATGCCTGATGCAACCACAAATGAAACACTTCAATTTGACACTGATCAGCATGTAGGGGAAAATAGTGTCCCAGGTTAGTTTTTTGGGGAGGGTATTGGCTCCTGTTTAGTAAGCAGAGAAACAGCTATTGTGTAACTTACCACAGATTCTGGGATTTCTCATCACAGTTTTGAGCTTCTCCCCTTTAAGTTATTGTTGTGCAAGGTCATTCTCCGTTTTTCTCAATTTGGTTTGAAGATTTATACTGGCAAAGCAGCACTTCAATGCTTTTATTGTTTTAGTTTTATACTGTATGCCTCTTCAGAAATAGCCAGATCGTGATGAGGATCGCATACATGGTATATTTGTTTTGGACAATTATGAAGGCAAGAGCCTGCAGAGCATTTTGTTTAGCCATCTCAAATGTTGAGTTATTTCTTAATCCACTGCTGAAGAAATTCAAACCTTAGGTTTTACACATGCTACATTGGGACCACAATGCTAAGAGGGTTATGTTGAAAAGGAACATCTGGGTTCTCTGAAGAGTTTTGAAGAGGAACATCCAGAGCTGCCAGGATCACCACACAGTTGTCCCAGGAATCCAACACTCACACAAAAAGTGTGTACAAGGTAAACAAGCCTCGGACAAAGACCGAGAGACTGCAAGAAAGGCATTTGTGAAAAAGGAACAGTTGACAGAAACAGATTATTTGTATAGATTATAATAAGACTGCCTACAGTTTGGACCATAAAGCAATTCCATCTATTTGTGTTGTTTGTGTCTCAAGTAGTCCTTATTTTAAATATCCAGGAAGAAATATATTTTCTAACATAGGAGTTTGTCTGCAGTCATATCTTTGGTCCGGAGATGTCATAGGAGATCTTGCCAAAATAATCTGTTGATTTTTTTTTAACACAATTGTATTTACAGATACATTACTTACATAATTGAAAAGCTGTAATTTTTTTTATTTTACTTATTTTAACAGTGTAATAATAATTTATTTTGGGGGTCAGATATCAACATGTGTTTGTTCTGATTTTATGAAGAAAGTGGTATAGGTTCAGCCTTGAGTCCTGGAGGTCTGAGGTGATGGGAGATCATATCCTGCTTATGTAACCAGGATGTAGCCTTGTGGGAATAACTGCAGTTTTGTCCAGCCTATTGTTAGCCATTTATCCATCATGAAGGTAACACTCCCTCTATGATTTTTAAATGCCGCTGTAGAAATGTCACAACCCCTCTTCATCTGTTGGGTAACCTTCCCATTGAGTGTCCCAATCCCCAACCACCAACCCTGAAATCTCGCTGTGTTACTGAAGTAGTAAACAAAACAATACATTTAGTAGTATACAGTACATACGATAACATGTTTCCTCTCTTCAACTGTCTCTGTGGTCTTGTAAAAGTAATTCTCATGTAAATGAAGGTTAATTCACCTATTTCTAATCGTTTTGATTTGATTTGCAGGCGCTCTACATTGTTGTCTAAAGTGGACCATTCTGTTGCTTTTATGAAGGAATACTTGTTTATCCTCTTTTCAATGAAGGTGACCTATCCTATTCTCTCCAATATTTTTGAGGTGTCTGGACAGCTGTCTTAAACCGTCCCCTACACCCCTCCCCCATGGTCTGCCTGATAGTAACCCACCAAAGGGACCTGGAAAAGAAAATGCTCTTAGAATATTTTGTTCAGAAGGAAAAAAAGAGAAGATTATATTAGTATGGTTTTAATTTCAGTACCTTGATTTAACATGCAGGCATGTTTGATGACATTTATTTTCTTCACTGTGTTGTCATTTACAGTGAGCTCCGAAAGTATTGGGACAGCGACACTTTTTTGGTTGTTTTGGCTCTGTACTCCAGCACTTTAGATTTGAAATGATACAATGACTATGAGGTTAAAGTGCAGCATTAATTTGAGGGTATTTTCATCCATATTAGGTGAACCGTTTAGAAATTACAGCACTGTTTGTATATAGTCCACCCATTTTAGGGGACCAAAAGTATTGGGACAATTCACTTATATGGGTATTAAAGTAGTCAAAAGTTAAATATGTATTTAGACCCATATTCATAGCACGCAATGACTACATCAAGCTTGTGAGTCAAAAAATGTGTTGGATGCATTTGCTGTTTGTTTTGGTTGTTTCAGATTATTTTGTGACCAATAGAAACGAATGGTAAATAATGTATTGTGTCATTTTGGAGTCACTTTTATTGTAAATAAGAATAGAATATGTTTCTAAACACTTCTACATTAATGTGGATGCTACCATTATTACAGATAATCCTGAATGAATCGTGAATAATGATGAGTGAGAAAGTAACAGACGCACAAATATAATTCCCCCAAGACATGCTAACCTCTCACCATCACAATAACAGAGGAGGTTAGCCTTTTTTGGGGGGTATGATATTTGTGCGTCGGTAACTTTCTCACTCATCATTATTTACGATTAATTCAGGATTATCTGTAATCATGGTAGCATCCACATTTATGTAGAAGTGTTTAGAAACATATTCTATTCTTATTTACAATAAAAGTGACTCCAAAATGACACAATACATTATTTACCATTGATTTCTATTGGTCACAAAATAATCTGAAACAACCAAAACAAACAGCAAATGCATCCAACACATTTTTTGACTCACAAGCTTGATGTAGTCATTGCGTGCTATGAATATGGGTCTAAATACATATTTAACTTTTGACTACTTTAATACCCATATAAGTGAATTGTCCCAATACTTTTGGTCCCCTAAAATGGGTGGACTATATACAAACAGTGCTGTAATTTCTAAACGGTTCACCTAATATGGATGAAAATAGCCTCAAATTAATGCTGCACATTCTATTCCTATTTACAATAAAAGTGACTCCAAAACGACACAATACATTATTTACCATTCATTTCTATTAGGTACGAAATGTGTTGTAATCTCTAAACGGTTCACCCGATATGGATGAAAATACCCTCAAATTAAAGCTGACAGTCTGCACTTTAACCTCATAGTCATTGTATCATTTCAAATCCAAAGTGCTGGAGTACAGAGCCAAAACAACACAAAATGTGTCACTGTCCCAATACTTTTGGAGCTCACTGTACTTGCTGTTGTTGTCATATTGGGCCGCAGGATGTGTTCTGGTTCTGATAAAGAAGCTTAAAATAAGTTATAATGTTTCATGCTGGCTGACAAATTGTTAACAAGAAATGTGTTTAGTTTACTAACTCAGAGACTGTACTACTGTCTACGCTACTGAGATTTCATGAAGGACTCCTACATTTTGAAGTTAGCAGAGACATATCTGGCAGTTTTGACTGTAGTCAGTATAGTAGCTAGTGTAAAATCTGGCATCTGAGTGTGTGGTTGTGTATGCAAGCATTCATGCGCACACATGCGTGAGTGAGTGAATGAATTAATGGGACAATTATTTACTGTATAAAAAAAAGGGGAATTAAGACATGTTTCAAATCCTGACTTAACTGTATGTTAACATATCAACTAACTCAGTTCCGGTTAATAGCCATAGTCATAATTTTTAATAACACATTTTTGGCCTAATGTATCCTCATATGTCCCACACACATGTAACTGTACATGGAGGAAGCCATTGGCTATGAGAGAGAAAGGCAGTGCATTGACCATTAATTTGGATCGCTTTGATCTAAATAATTAGTGCTCAATGTGCACTGCTCTGCTCCATTGTGCCTCCAAGCTATAGCTTTTATTCAGCACGTATGCCGTGGGTTTCAATATGTAATTGGAATTGCTATTAAGAGACTTACTGGGTGCTTTAGTCTCCCTTGCCTTTTGAGAAAACAGATATGTCATTATGGCACATATTTTGAGACCAATACATGACCGTAAGGTTTGGTATCTCAATTCATGGTACTAGCCTGTGTTGGAGATCTCGTCTGAATACTATGATACCAAACTGAGTCCAATTCATTTTTGGAATAAATACGAGACAGACAATAGACAAATGCTTAGTCAATAACCCTCACGCTGCCTTAGCTCTGTCTACAATAACAAAATATCTAATTTTCAGCTTTTCTGTTCCAGTTCTGTGTAAAAAGTCTACTGTATTTGCAGAGTTGAATACCCTCATCTGAATGAAATTATATTAGTAGTAGCTAAGTGGTATCTATACTTGTAGGAGGACACTTTCAAAAATCACTGTCAGTTATATGACTCATATCTAGATCATATCGCTCAAGGCTCTATGCTATGCTGTGTATCGTTAATTTGTAAGATGTCCTTTGTTTGTTTTCAAATAACAGTCTGTAACCATCTGTTGTCCTAACTGTAGCTACTGTATGTATGCATCAACATGTCACTAATCCAGAACATAACCTACTTTGGATGGGCTTGCACTTTCAGTTACTTTTGTTTTTACTCCAGACTGCCCACTGTGATCCATTAGGACATTTTCTGTGTGTAGAAAATCTTTGCAAGGAAAGATGAAGGTTCTTTGAGTTTAATAGGTTAGTCATCTCTCTAACCTCGTCTTATGGTTGTACAATATGTACTGTATCATACTAGAGACAGTGCTTACATTGGGTTCTTAGGTTTATTTATTGCGGTGTTCATCAAAGTTTGGTCAATACATTTAGGATGAAACAGTTGAATAATTAGGCTTCAACTGAAAGAGAACTTGGTTATTGATTGTCAGTGTGATACATATAATTTTCTTCACAGGGCTAGTCACTTACCTTCTTTCATGAAAAAGTAATATATGTCAACATAAGATAAATTGTTATTCTAAATATGTGGAATGGATTTTAAAGTCTAAATATATGGAATATATTACTCTATGTATGACTTTAGCATTTCAGTGTATGCATACTGTATGTGGAATGAGTAGTCTTTCAGTACTTGTAAGGTGACATGAGCCTGGCAATAGTTTATCATAATTCATGTATTATTCTTTCTTCTTGGGAATATGTAAGATTTATTCCATTTTTTCTAGTTAACTGTATGAGGCTAAAATGGGACTTGCTGGCCATCCACTGAAACAATTGAACTTTTTCTCTTTTTCAAATTAGATTTATTTTCTTCTGGTAAACATACATGGTTTGTTTTGGAGCTGTAAAAGGGATACTGTATTCTGAGGACAATACATGTTTGGAAGGCATTTGCAGCCTCTGTTTGTACACAAAATGTTAAATAAAATCTCCTGTATCTATGTAAAAATGTGTCAATGCCTTATATCTTCAAGACCTAACTGTCGATCCATATTACTAGATTTGAAAGATTGCAGACACCAGTGTCACCACATCACAGATTCACTACATGTCATTATTATTAAATGTTTCTCAACATCAGCAGCAGAGAAAGCCTAGGCCCATTTCACATGGCCCCCACCGAGCACATGTATTTAGATAATATATGTCTCTGTCTGGCCCCCACTTTGTATCATTTCTGCTACCTTCCAAAAAGGATAGGGAGGGATATGTCAGGAGACATCTCACCAGGGACGGCCTGTTCAATAGGGCGATATGGGCGACGCACTGCCAAACGGGAAAAGGAAGGGATTTTTTTTCTAATCAATTATATCACGGCAACAGTAGTTATCAGTGTTGTAATCTGATCTGACTGCCACTAAATGTCAAATCAGGCTAAAGTCGTGCTTCAAATGGCCCCTCCCGTTTTTGGGCGATTTCAGTCAGGTTGAAAATCGCCCAGAAGTCTCTCATAGCCTGTCATGTAAAATCTATTTTTTTCAAATTTCAAAGCTTTCAATACATTCTCTATGGGTGTCTGTGGGCTTGCACTTACGCGCTTTCGTCATACGTGACGTAACCATGAACGTAACTAAGCAAATAGCGGCTAGCAGCGTCTCTTTGCGACCTGCAGTGTGGCGTTATTTTATGTTTTTAATTTGTACACTTAGTGGCGTTATTTTATGTTTTTAATTTGTACACTTAGTTTACAAACATTCTGCCAACCATGGATTTCGAGTGGTGGGTTTTGGACTGATCTTGTTGATCGTGTACATACCCGCTACGAACGGACTAAATAATGAAAACGTTGCTGGCAGCGGAATCCAATACAGCTGGGAGACTTGGCTGGATGACAGAGTCCCGGACAGAGAAGTGGAGCCGGCCGGCTTCACCCTGGTCGGAGCGGACCTCGATCTGACAGTCACAGGGAAAATCGATCCTGGTAAGAGAGCGACTCTGTACCCCCGAGCCCCGACATTGAACTGCTTTCTGTGTCACTGTGACCTTACTATCTGCCCCGTGAGTTCCCCCAATTGTTTGTTACCGTTGTGTACTGTTGATAATCACAAGTTTACTGGAGAACTGAGACCAAGTAGAGACTTTGGACAGGGTGGATATGGTATAATAAAGGCAGTTTATTCAGAGGTAAAGATATCTGGAATCGCGTGCACGGACTCGTTCGTCAAACTCTTAGGGAGCTATCTGAAGAGAGCCCCGAAAACATTGTGTGCTGACATTTTATACAATAAATGATGTAGGTTGAATCTAGTAGTTCTGATCTTCTGATTGGTCCTGATGAGTTGGGCGAGGTCCCCTCCACTGTTGCATTGGCTCTGAGTCGGGTTCTCTGTCTTCAAATGTTCAGCCTAAAGAGAGGGGATTTTTGTGTGTGTGTGTGTGTGTGTGTTTAACAGTGATGATGTGTGTGTGTGTGTGTGTTTAACAGTGATGATGTGTGTGTGTGTGTGTGTGTTATCAGTGATGATGTGTGTGTGTGTGTGTGTGTGTGTGTCCTCAGAGCAAGAACTCGTGAGTTGGAAGAACTGAGAGACCTATGGCGTGGGTGTTGTCCTTGGCCACCTGCTGACAAGGCTGACAAGATAGGACTCTTTTGTCCATTGTTATAGGATAGGAACAGCATTGATTGAAAACAAACGCCCAACACAAAATGGGTCATGCACAAGATTTTAGTCAGACCAAGCTATAACATTATATATTTACTACGACAGTACATTCAACCAAAAGCTAATATAACAAAGGCATCAGAGATTATTTATAATCTGTCACAGAAACTGGAATCCATCTCCCCAGATCAGTCAATAAATGCTTCTGGTATTGACTTATATGCTGCCCCTGTCTTCATGTTGTTGCTGGACATATCTTTTTTAAAATGTGTGTAGGTCACCTAAATCATCAGAAAAATTGCCCCTCCTGAGAATTTTTTCAGGAGCCGCCACTGCATCTCACAATTCGAAGCCGTAATCGTTTACTATGGTGCTCTAGGGACCCATGAAGAGTAGCTGCTGCTTCTGCAAAAGCTAACGGGGATCCAAATAAACAAACCGTTTACGGTTTAAGAACCAAACGGAAGCAAACAGAGCTAACGGAAAGAAACTGGGCGGGACCTACCTACATTTGTCCAATAGAAACTCTCGTTTGCGTTTTCCGTTTGGAGTAAACGGTTTCTGTTTGGGAACGGAATCGGCGTAATGATTGTGCTGTGTCGGCGTCCTGTCAAAGAGAAGAGAAAAATCCAGGGATGGGACGCCGGGGATGGAGTGCATGAAATGACCAATATCTGGACATTGTAACTTCAAACCGATTATATCCGAGTATCTCTATGGTGTGAACGAACGAATTCCAGGTAAAATGGGTTAGACGTTTTTGTTCTCTTATGTTGCTTGCTTGTTGTAGCTAGGTTACTAGCTAGCTAGTTAACTTCATCGAGCCAGCAGTGTCTCTGATAATTAGCTACAATATAACAGTATCGAAACAATACACCACACTTGTCTAGCTAGCTAATTAACTAGCTAACCAAATAGAGCAAAGACAAAGGTAATGTGTTTTCTATATTTGATTTCGTTAGCTAGCTAACGTTAACTTGCTAGCTCCTCTACAAGGAGGAGGGAAAAGTATCATACTTTCCAGTTGGGACAGTTAACAAATTCCTCAGTGTTTATAGCTATAACGTCGTTGGCTCTGGCAGCTCCAGTAGTTCGGATGGCTTAACGTTATAATGACAACGAGGTTGTTTTCTTTATTCAGTTGCATTTTCTGACACAACTTCATCTCAGTTTGACCCAATTGTGTGTCTTATATTCAGCTCCATTACCTCCTCACTATGTGAAGAAAATGTATCTCATGAGTCATTTAGTCATACACATTTAACTGCCATCACCTTCTCGGCCTTGAGTGCACTGCCAGTGACTTGTGTGTTGTGATCCATTACGCCATCCAACCACCCTACTTTCGTTTTTGCCTTAAGTAACTTGTAAAACCACTTTTGAGAAAATGGCCCAGCACACCTACTGGAGAGCTCTTCTTTGTCTACACCCATTCAGCATCGTTCACACCCTCTTAAGCCTTTGTCCCACCCATCTCTTTAATGACACACATGTGAGGCAATGTGTTAAACAGAGTGAGTATTTTAGTAAACAACCAAAGATTTCAAGACTAAAAGTGGGAAAGTAGTAGCCTACAATAAGGAAAAACTCCAAGTAAAAATACACTTTATCTAGTCCTTGGCCTATATCCTAATCTGACTTTGGTGAAGGTCATGTTGTTCTTCACATTACCATCTCTAGTAAACACACTATATCAAATACAATGTAGGGCGGCGCACAATTGGCCCAGCGTCGTCCAGGGTAGGGGAGGGAATGGCCGGCAGGGGATGTAGCTCAGTTGGTAGAGCATGGCGTTTGCAACGCCAGGGTTGTGGGTTCGATAAAATAATGTATGTGCTAACTGTAAGTCGCTCTGGATAAGAGCGTCTGCTAAATGACTAAAATGTAAATGTAAATGTTAGTTTATTTGTCACATGCACAGGATACAGAAGGTGTAAATGGTACAGTGAAATGCTTACTTGCATAGTAGTAATATCAAAAACAGAAATTGTCCAGATAAAAAATATTTTATAATTATAAGATCACACTCACCCGACACACATGTCTAAATTGATGGGTCACGTGAAAGAAATGCTCTAACATTTACATTTTAGTCATTTAGCAGACGCTCTTATCCAGAGCGACTTACAGTTAGTGAATACATATTTTTGTTTTATACTGGCCCCCCATGGGAATCGAACCCACAACCCTGGCGTTGCAAACGCCATGCTCTATCAACTGAGCTACATCCCTGCCGGCCATTCCCTCCCCTACCCTGGACGACGCTGGGCCAATTGTGCGCCGCCCATGAGTCTCCCGGTCGCGGCCGGCTGCGACAGAGCCTGGATTCGAACCAGGATCTCTAGTGGCACAGTTAGTACTGCGATGCAGTGCCTTAGACCACTGCGCCACTCAGGAGTTTAGACCACTAACCACCCCCCCAGCCACATCTAGCTAAGTGGATGGGTCACTATTGTCTAGACATGTACACATGAAATTCAATAGATGGCCGTAATCACTCCCAGACACACCTGGCTAACTTGATGGGTCATGTAATCATCTGGCGAAGTGGAGTCTTTTGTTTAGACATGTAGCTAGCTAGATAATGAACCGGCATAATCCCAACCCATACTACTATCAATACAAACATTGTCATAGCTTTAGTATGAATCTGCAGGTAGCTAAAGAGCTAACCAACTAGGTTAATTGTTAGCTAGCTAACGTTAGGCTGTAACTAGCAATGCAAATTAATTTCTGATTAGAATAATGTTACTACACAGATCATACACGTAACGTTAGCTAATGAGCCAGCAAGCTAAAGTTAGCTAGCTAGCTAACAGTACGCTTTAACTTGCAATGAAAATGACTTTCTGACCAATTTAGAAACTTATAATATCTGAAAATGTAGCTAGACTCTTACCAGTATACATGGATGAACGCTTCACGGCAGACTGGAACCATTTAACTCAGTTTTGTTTGTAGCTACATCTTGTTTGGCCGGCATTGTGTCAAGTCACTCCAGTTCACACTGGATCAAGGATCTCTCTGTACTTTGCTCCGTTCATCTTTCCCACGATCCTGACTAGTCTCCCAGTCCCTGCCGCTTTAAAACATCCCCACCGCATGATGCTGCCACCATCATGCTTCACCGTAGGGATGGTGCCAGGTTTCCTCCAGATGTGATGCTTGGCATTCAGGCCAAAGAGTTCAATCTTGGTTTCATCAGACCAGAGAATCTTGTTTCTCATGGTCTGAGAGTCCTTTAGGTGCCTTTTGGCAAACTCCAAGCAGGCTGTCATATGCCTTTCACTGAGGAGTGGCTTCCGTCTGGCCACTCTACCATAAAGGCCTGGTTGATGGAGTGCAACAGAGATGGTTGTCCTTCTGGAAGGTTCTCCCATCTCCACAGAGGAACTCTGGAGCTCTGTCAGAGTGTATTATGAAAAATGTATTTAATCCATTTTAGAATAAGGCTATAACGTAACAAAATGTGGAAAAAGTCAAGGGGTCTGAATACATTCCGAATGCACTGTACATCTGGTATCTGACTGACTGCCCTACCCTTTGAAATTCCTGAGTTGGCTATACGTGGTTCGTTGTGTGTGACTCTCTTAATGTGAAATGAGGTAGTATATCATATACTGACACACCGCTGAGTTCAGAATTGGTGGAAACCTCTAGCTGCTAATGAATACTGAGGGATATTACCATGTCGTCCCGTCCCCCTCTCCTCTTGAAGTCCAGAATTACAGCTATGTTATGATTTCCTAGTCTGTTATTGTCCGATCCATCTTCAGGGAAAACATTTCTACCCTGACCCCCTGGTACTAATATCATAAAGCTCACCATGGCCAGCCTATGATGTTTATTTACTGTATTTTAGGCTAGGCCTATGTATTTGTTATTAATTTTGTTTACAAAAATTAGGCAAAATTCTTCTGGTAGTGGTTCTAAATAATTGATCATAATACTTCACTCTACGGAAGGAGCCTGAAGGATCTAGATTAGGTTCTTTCTTCACCACCACTGTCACTCATTCTGTGTCTGACTGGTTTCAAGTAAGCCTTTCTAGAAACTGTCTGACTCAGGGTGGTGTTGATGTCTACTAGCCTCTTGTTGTTGTTTGAACATGATGCACTACAAGGATATTCCCTGTTACTGGATGCCCCAACCCAGTCAATGATCCATGTTGGTGGGCTGCTGTCTGTCAGGGCTCCAGACGTCTTTGTTTTGTCTGCAGTTCAAAGACAAGGAAAGGGGGCTGGGGAGAGGAATTGTTATGGGTACTGTGGGTATACCTGTCTTTTGTAAAAATGTTCAAAGCTAATCTTGCGTGCTATTGCAGGGTAGGGTGGAGTAGTGGTCATAATGGTCAAGCTTTATCTTGTTGTATAAATAGACTGACCTGTGAATGGGGGACTTAGACTTCTTCAGGCAGGCAATATGTGATTAATTCTAGGTGATGACGAGTAGCCTGTTCAATTTGAATAATCAGTCTTCAAGAAGAAGAGGGTCACCATCTCAGACATAGGCCAACATGTAGTAGAATACTTCCAAAGGCCAGCTACTGTAATGAAAGTGAAATTATATGACTAAAGTGAGTGTTTTTTCTCATTGTCTGGGCACCATTATAGGCCTGCACACAAAGGCTCCTCATGCCTTTTAAGGCAAGCCCAGACAGTTACTGCTGCTGCAGTTCAACCGCCTCATGATGATGTGATAAGAGAAGCAGCTAGCTACACGCCTGAGACCTCCAATCATACGCTTTGTGTGCTTTCAAACCTGCATCCAATGACCATTCTCGGCATGTGATCTGTGTTTGTGTCTGAGAAGGAGGTAGTGCTGGCTGGCGTTTGAACATAAATAGACCGCAGCACGGGAGAATTGTAGTCATTTAGTCTACTCCAGATTAGACAGCAACTCCTCAGCTAATAGCTAGCCTATAGATCACAGATCATGTGTTCTCCCAAGAAAACTACTACCACAGGCATCAGGTAACTAACTGGATTTTCAAAAGGAAATCTAGGCTAATTGATTATTCTTGCAATAGATTTACAACTAATGATTTACAAACTAGTATTTAGAGGGGCTTCATCCTATAACACTTGTAGTTTTGGGCTAAGCGTTTGTCAGTCTTGTTCTTTAGTATTTATATTAGTTGTAAGAGGTTGTTGACTGAGGTTAATTATGGTACAATAATATTACATTGTTTTTCTTACTAAGAAACAAGAAACCCTCTGATACGTGCATGTGTTACCTCATCATTCTGTTATTAACTCATTCTGCATGCTTGTGTATTTTTGTTCCACATAGATTGCGCTGTAAATGTCTGAGAAACCGAGAGCCCAGTATGAGGAAGGCGACCAGGCCAGTGGCAGGCGTATCCAAAGCCTCAGTAGCAGGCACCAAGGCCCAGACCGGTGAGAGAGTCAAGCCTGAGGGCGCCACCACCACCATGGGCACAGCCGGCAAGAATACAGCCAAGACCTCTGCCACCGCACCACTATCTAAGGTACAAATGCATAAGGCACAAGCAAAAGTGAGCACTGGCTTCATACTGCGATGACAACCATGGAAGCCCTTTATCTTTCTAGGTCCAATAGCTGGTATGATACCTGTCATGTTTCTCTTTGGCCAGGCGAAGAGCAGTGATGACCTGCCATCAGCAACAACAGTAGACAGTGGAGCCTCTGCTGGGAGCAGCACTATTCCGAAGGCAAAGAAGACTATCTCTGTCCACTCTTCAAACTCCTCCACTACAGGTACCAGCAACCCAGAGGGCAAGACAAAGACCAGCTCAGGTACATCATCAACTCATAGCGCTACTTACAGACTATACTCTGTTTGTGATTAGCTCTGACCCATATAAAAATGCCAACTTCTTGACCTTCAATAATGGACTGTATTGTACTCCTCAGGCAAGCGTGGGACCTCCTCCGTGGTGAAGGAGCTTGGTTCATCCCGGGAGGGACTGCGGGAACGCTCCAGAACTTGCACCACCAGCAGGAAGCTCTCTGGACCCTCCGACGCCTTGGCACCGCCCAAGAGAGTCCGCTGCCGGACTGTGACTGAGTCAGAGTCCCGTATGAGCAAGTCCAAGTCGAACGGGCAGCTCAGCAACAAGACGGTCCTGGAGTGCAGGGTGAAGGACCTGCTGGGCCTGGCCAAGAGCAAAGACGTGGAGATCCTCCACCTGCGCACAGAGCTCCGGGGCATCCGTGTCCAGCTTGGTCTGCCCGAGGAGGAGGAGGATGGGGAGAGCAGAGCCAGAGAGGAGGGCGAGGGAGAGGAGACTGCTGAGGCTAAGCCTCCACAGGAACAGGAGAAGGAAGCCCCTACTCCACTCATCTCTGCAGATGTGGAATCCACCCTGCTCTTGCTACAGGACCAGAACCAGGGGATCCGCGGAGAGCTGAACATGCTGAAGAGTGAGAACCGCATGCTGAAGGACCGGCTCAACGCCCTGGGTTTCTCCCTGGAGCAGAGGCTGGACAGCCCCCTAAAGACCCTGCGAGGCACCTGCCTTAGCTCAGAGCTTCCCCCAGCCCGCGGTGGCAGTGATGGAGATGGAGGGTGCCCACGGGCCTCTTTAGTACAGGGGGTCTCCCCACACAGCTCTGCCCGCGGCTCCACTGAAGACCTTCTGGACCCCCAGCGAGCCATCTCCCCTGAGGTGGCCGAAAGTGAATGCAGCGAAGCCTACCAGCCAATCACCTCCAGCGATGATGCCCTGGACGCCCCCTCTGGTTCTGCCTCTGCCTGCGGCTCCTCCTCCGAGTCAGAGGGCGGGCCACCGAGTCACGGCGAGCGCTCCCGTAGAGGCAGCAGCGGCACCACCAGCGGGGTGTCAGTGGCCTGTCTAACGGAGCGCATTCACCAGATGGAGGAGAACCAGCACTGCACCTCTGAGGAGCTCCAGGCCACACTACAGGAGCTGGCCGACCTGCAGCAGATCACACAGGAACTAAGCACAGAGAATGAGCGACTGGGTGAGGAGCGGGCAATCCTGGTAGACTCCCTGTGCCAGCAGGGCGACCGGCTGGAACTTTACGGCCGGCAGATGGACTACTTCCGGGGCCTGCTGGACGAGCACCGCGTGGCTTACGCCCCGGCTGACGAGGAGGGTTCTAAGAGCGGCCGCTACCTCGAGCTGGAGCGCCGGTACGTGGACCTGACGCAGGGCGCCCACTTTGAGAGAGAGCAGCTGCTGGGGGTGCAGCAGCACCTGAGCGGAGCGCTGAAAATGGCCGAGCAGGACAACGCAGAGGCCCAGGGACTCATCTCAGCGCTGAAGGAGCGGGTGCACATGGCGGAGCGGCAGGCTGATATGGAGCGCAGGGAAAGAGCGATGGCGGCTGCAGAGCTGGAGGCCCTGAGGGAGGCGGCTGGGGGGGAGCAGGCGGAGCTGACTCGATGCAGGGTCCAGCTGGAGCAGGAGAGGCAGAGGGTGGCTGAGCTCTACTCCATCCACAACACCGGGGACAAGACAGACATCCGCCACCTGCTGGAGAGCGAGAGAAGGGACAAGGAGAGGGCAGAGGCCAAGTCTTCTCAGCTGCAGGAGGACCTGGACCACACCCGCAAAGAGGCCGCCAGGCTACAGGACGACATCCGCAAGGTCACACATTCTCGTAGTTAAAATGCTTTCCATTCAGATTCTCCATCAGTCCTGGATATTTTCTAAGTGTTAGTATTTCTCCCAATTCATGTCTTTGTTATGTATATGACACGTGTGCTCGCGCTTACACCTATGTATCTCCCATTCTCCCGTCAGCTGGAGGAAGACTTCCGTGCATTCCGTGGCGAGGTGCAGAAGCAGCTAGCTGAGCAGAAGCGGGCCCTGGCCCAGCAGTGTTCTGAGCTGGAGGAAAGGGACACAGAGGTCTCGGACATGAAGGAGACCTTCTTTGAGCTGGAGGACGAGGTGGAGCAACACCGAGCCCTCAAACTCCACGACAACCTCATGATCACAGACCTGGAGAGTGAGTGGTGGATGGACACTAGGATGCAGACAGGCCACTGACACCCCGCTGGTGGAACCCTACCCTATTCCCTATGTAGTGCACTACTTTTGACCAAGGCAACAGGGTTCTGGTCAAAAGTAGTGCACTATTAGGGAATAGGGTGCCATTTGGGACATGGTATCTCTCAGGAAAAGGGACTAGCGGGAAACCTGATGTGTGACCACAAGGTGGCGATGTGGGACCATTATAACACAGCCAAGTAAGCCAGTTTATTCCATCTCCATTCATTTAATCATTCATCATTTTCCTTTCAGACTCCGTCAAAAAACTACAGGACCAAAAACATGACATGGAGCGTGAGATCAAGATTCTGCATCGAAAGCTACGGGTAATTTGGGGAAGCAGGAGGAATACTGTCCTGTGCCTCATCCATATCTCAGTTAAATGTTGCTCTTGTATGGAACATAACATGAAGATATTTAACACAGTTGTAATAAAAATGGGTCTACAGGCCCTTAGTGTTAGCTGTGGCTGCATCCCAAATGGCAACCTATTCCCTATATAGTGCACTTCTTTTGACCAGGGCCCATAGGGACTCATATTATTATGATGTGTGTCCATATCTGTGTTCACACCTCTACTTGCAGGAGGAGTCTATGGAGTGGCGTCAGTTCCAGGCCGACCTGCAGACGGCGGTTGTCATCGCCAACGACATCAAGTCCGAGGCTCAGGAGGAGATCGGGGACCTGCGGCGCCGCCTACTGGACACACAGGAGAAGAACGAGAAGATGAGCAAAGAGCTGGAGGAGCTCAAGAAGTATGTGGTCTTAGTGTGCGTGCATGTGTGTTGTTGTGTGTGTCCCAATCTCCCTGTGTCAAAGATATTGACCATCTGTTATCTGTCTCTATAGGCAGGATGAGGAGAGGGGCAGGGTGTATAACTACATGAATGCGGTTGAGAGGGACCTAGCTGCCCTGAGGCAGGGCATGGGTCTCAACCGACTCTCCTCTACCTCCTCTGAGCCCTCTCCCACCGTTAAGACCCTCATCAAAAACTTTGACAATGCCTCCACTGCAGGCACTGTCCCAACCTCCCCCACAGCAGCCGTGCCAGCAGTTACCACGATGGTTGCCCGTACACCCCTCAGCCCCAGTCCTCTGAAAACCCCACCCGCTGCTGCTATCTCTCCCATACAGGTAAGAAAAACACCCAATGGTGACCAGGCCACCAGGCAGCACAAGTCCCCTCTGAAAAGGAGGAAGCTGTAGGTCTCTAACCCCATCCTGATTGGTTCATTAGATGTCAGCCCCTCTATCATTTATTTAATGTGGTTCCCCTGCCTCAGCCCTGTCTTTGTAGAACTACTGAGAATTCCAGACCCCTGCAAGACCTGATAGGACTTCCCGCAGGTTTCTACCCAAACAGTCAGGATGTCATTTTCAAGTTAACTTGGGATTTATGCTCTGAATAGGTTACACGTTACCTTTATGTAACAAAACAGGATGTTTGCGTGTCAAGTCGGGTTGGATGGAGAATGAGGAAGGGTGATTCTTGAACATTAACATTTTAACTTATAATGGGTTGAGTTTAATGTCTTGGCCAACCTTTGGTTAGAACAGGCCCAGAGGCATTTTAACCATCACAAGACCAGTGAATTAAGGCAGGCTTTCAGAGCTACTACTGCTGCATGTTGTTTGAGTTAAGCTCCTGTGTTGGTTGCCAGTGCCTGCTATGTTAACCTTGCTCATGGCTTGGACAGATGTTTTCCCTGAGTCTGACCTTATGGGGAATAGAGCATGTGAAAGCTCTCCATTTCATTGGCACTATAGATCTGTCTCCACAGAAATAGAGTCATGTGTCTTGAATTAGGCATACTCCTTTACAGGGTAAGTTTAAGTGCAATTGATTGATTTCTTGTAGGCTACATTAGGCTACATGTTCACAATTATAAACCTGCTTCTAAAAATAAGCCTTAAGCTAAAATACCTTTGGTTGGTCTTCATATTGCCACCACCAAAGTGTAAATCACCATACACAATTGGTTCACACAGGGAGCCTATTCACTCAATTACTCTGTCTCTGAGTCCAGTGAAATGTAACATCATTCATTTGGATCAGTCTGTTTGGCGCACAGCCCATATTTTCAATGAATTAGAAGGTCGCCGCCTGCATTATTTTGGTTCAAGCTATAGGAAAATCACTTCCATGAAACAAAGCTCTGTATGGCAGAAGGTGGTCATGAAACATTCATTTACTCTGCAGAGTTTATTTTGAGAGCGGTCAATATAGCAGGCGCCTGGGAGATGCCCGTCCCTCACTCTAAGGGGTCTCACTTATTATTTTACCCCCAGGCAGGGTCAGGGCCTGAGTGGTCTGATATATTGTCTCTATCTAGGTTGGTGTAGAATAAATAAGTGCTTTACAACATTAGGATACTTTTAGAATAAACAATGATGGTACAAAACATTAGGAACACATAGGGCTGTTATGGTGACCGTATTACCGCCACATCGGCAGTCAAGATTTATGACTGCAGTCAAATTCCACGTGACCATTGAGTCATGGTGACTAGGCTTCTCCAAAACTGCGCTCTGATGCCGCTGATGGTCATTAGTAGCTGACCAAACTTGCTAACGGCCATCTCTAATGGCCTGGGACTCAGTGCTTTATTGTCCCTCTAAATCACTCTGACATCAATGCAAATGCAATCGAAAATCAAATCAAACATTTAATGAGAGCCCTGAAATTAAGAGTTTGAGCAGAATAGGATCACCTGTTGCACAGCGAGAGCCAGCTCCGCATAGCTGGTTGATGCATGGAATTTAATAAGTGTTCCTATAAGCCTATGTTGCGCATCATTTCTATAGGCTATGCAATTGATGGCATGAAAATGAACCACGGGAAAAGTGTCCTCCATTCGCTATTCAAGTGCATACTGATTGTTTATTTTTACCCTGCCCCTGTTCCGACTGGTGTATGATAATGGCCCATTCTAAATAAAAACTGATTTCACACTTACACTACATGGCCAAAAGTATGTGGACACCCCTTCAAATTAGTGGATTAACAGGTGTATAAAATCGAGCATACAGCCATGCAATCTCAATAGACAAACATTGGCAGTAGAATGGCCTGTACTGAAGAGCTCAGTGACTTTCAACGTGGCACCGTCATAGTATGCAACCTTTCCAACAAGTCAATTCGGCAAATTTCTGCCCTGCTACAGCTTCCCCGGTCAACTGTAAGTGCTGTTATTGTGAAGTGGAAACGTCAAGGAGCAACAACGGCTTAGCCGCGAAGTGGTAGGCCACACAAGCTCACAGAACGGGACCTAGGCCCCTTAGTTCCAGTGAAGGGAAATCTTAACGCTACAGCATACAATGACATTCTAGATGATTCTGTGCTTCCAACAGTTTGTGGAAGGCCCTTTCCTGTTTCAGCATGACAATGGCCCCGTGCACAAAGCGAGGTCCATACAGAAATGGCTTGTCGAGATCGGTGTGGAAGAACTTGACTGGCCTGCATAGAGCCCTGACCTCAACCCCATCAAACACCTTTGGGATGAATTGGAACGCAGACTGCGAGCCAGGCCTAATCGCCCAACATCAGTGCCCGACCTCACTAATGCTCTTGTGGTTGAATGGAAGCAAGTCCCCACAGCAATGTTCCAACATCTAGTGGAAAGCCTTCCCATAAGAGTGGAGGCTGTTATAGCAGCAAAGGGGGGACCAACTCCATATTAATGCCCATGATTTTGGAATGAGATGTTCGACGAGCAGGTGTCAACATACCTTTGGCCATGTAGTGTATTATTTAGTATATGTAAGAACAAGATGAAGTTGAGAATAGTCTGATGGGTGAGAATATTATCACTTGTGAATGATGCCTGGAGTGTAGGAGGACCTGTTTCTTTTGTTAACCATTCAACACAGAATACCCGCATATGCGCACTCCCTCTGAAATCGTTTGGGGAAAAATATCCATTCTATTTTATTCAGCTATGTTCAATTGTATTATTACTATAAAATAATGCCGCAGGAATTATAAGCGAATTTACCTGCTAAATTAACTAGTGTAGCCCACAGCCATATGGCAAAGCCAGATCAGGACCTAACATAAGGACGACTCATAATATGCTATTCTGTTCTTCTGAAATAGGCTACATTTTCTTCACATTATAATGTTTCTTTAGACCTGCTTAAAATAAATAATGGATTTATTGTGATTGTGTAGGCTATATTATGCTGAACAAACATATAAGCGCAACAATTTCAACGATTTTACTGAGTTACAGTTCATATAAGGAAATCAGTAAATTGAAATAAATTCATTAGGCCCTAATCTATGGATTTCACATGACACTTGGGAGCCAGGCCCACCAACTGGGGAGCCAGGCCCAGCCAACATAATTAGTTTTTCCCCTCAAAAGGGCTTTGTTACAGACAGAAATACTCCTAAGCTGTCCAGATGGCTGGTCTCAGACGATCCCACAGGTGAAGAAGCCGGATGTGGCGTTCCTGGGCTGGCGTGGTTACACGTGGTCTGCTGTTGTGAGGCCGGTTGGACGTACTGCCAAATTCTCTAAAACGACATTGTAGAGAAAGTAACATGGTAGAGAAAGTAACATTCAAGTCTTTGGCAACCGCTCTGGTGGACATTCCTGCTGTCAGCATGCCAATTGCACACTCCCTAAAAACTTGCGACATCTGTGGCATTGTTGTGTGACACAACTGCACATTTTAGACTGGCCTTTTGTTGTCCCCTGCACAAGGTGCCCCTGTGTAATGATTATGCTGTTTAATCAGCTTCTTGATATGCTACACCTGTCAGGTGGAGAGATGATCTTGGCAAAGGAGAAATGTTCACTAACAGGGATGTAAACATTTGAGAGAAATAAGCTTTTTGTGCGAATGGGAAAATTCTTGGATCTTTTTATTTCAGCTCATGGAACATGGGACCAACATTTTTATTTTTGTTCAGTATAAATTGATTTATTATATATATATTTTTTATGTAGATGTTCCAAAGGTCCACAGCAGTGGATTGTAGGCTATGCGTGGAAGCCGGAGATGCTAAACATGTTTATGTTAATTAACAGTCAATTACCGGCAGTTATTTGCATGACAATCACCGGCTGAGAAAATGTCATGACCCCCACAACCCTAGGAACACCTGCTCTTTCCATGACGTAGACTGACCAGGTGAATCCAGTTGAAAGCTAAGATCCCTTATTGATGTCACTTGTTAAATCCACTTCAGTCAGTGTAGATGAAGGGGAGGAGACAGGTTAAAGAAGGATTTTTAAGCCTTGAGACAAGTGAGACATGGATTGTGTATGTGTGCCATTCAGATGATGAATGGGCAATACAAAATATTTAAGCGCCTTTGAACGGGGTATGGTAGTAGGTGACCGGCGCACCAGCTTGAGTGTGTTAAGAACTGCAACGCTGCTGGGTTTTACACGCTCAACAGTTTCCTGTGTGTATCAAGAATGATCCACCACCCAAAAGACATCCAGCCAACTTGACACCACTGTGGGACCATGGGCCAGCATCTTTGTGGAATGCTTTCGTCACCTTGTAGAGTCCATGCCTTGACGAATTGAGGCTGTTCTGAGGGCAAAAGGGGGTACAACTCAATATTAGGAAGATGTTCCTAATGTTTTGTACACTCAGTATATATTACGGATATATCCAAACTTTTGTGGAATTCTTAGTAATCATAGGAAATATCAAAATAGACTAATGCCCCTCAGAATTTCAAAAGACGATGGATAGAGGACTATTTTTTGCAAATTTTGACGGTGAGGAAATCTAACCAATTTTCAGTGCTGCCCTCCGGACCTCATTGAAGACCAAATGCGGCCCCTGGGGCAACATGAGTTTAACGGCCCTGAAATAGAGGGAAACAGGCTCAAGTCACCCTGGAAGTGGAAGAACTCTGTGACCCATAACACGTCCTCTTCCACTACACCATGAGTTATCCTAGCCTGGTCCCACCTGCAGAGCCTTTGTCTTGCCAACTCCATCGCTGTCATTGCGAAGCCAACAATGTTTGGCGTGACGAGGAGTACAAACAAAATAGCTGGCACTCAGGCTAGAGTTATCGCTCTGTGGCTCAAACTTAGCATCAACATCATTACATAATGATGGTACACTTCACCTTAATTAACACACTCAAGTTTACTGATCAATTCATTTATACATGTTTTCTTTTTACTTATTATGGTGTGATTTTCATATAAGCCCATGGGCTTCCAACCACACCTGCACACTGTTTAAAAAATATATATTTGTTTTTTATCTATGTTATTTATCACTTGTTTTCTTTGGTGCAACTAAACTGAACTGTTAGTAAGTTCATTACTTTGACCTAGTTCATTAATGAAGAATATTACTGTAAATGCTAGTGTGTGTGTCTGATTCTCCTCTGTTGTGCTGTGTTTCAGAGGCACACTGCGTCGATCCCCAAACCCCTGTCCTCCATGGTGGATAAAAGGTCCAGCTACACAGATATCAATATGCCAGGTGGGTACAATAGTCTTCATTCGTATCATGCCTATTCTGTTGGACAACCATTACATTACATTACATTAGTGCTGACCCCAATTAGTCGACTGGTCGATTGTTTGGTCAATAGGCTGTTGGTCGAGCAAGATTTTTTTTAGTCGAGCAGTAGCAAATATGTATACAGGACCAGTCAAAACTTTGGACATACCTACAAATAGGGCTATCTTCTGTATACCACCCCTACCTTGTCGCAACACAACTGATTGGCTCAAACGTATTAAGAAGGAAAGAAATTCCACAAATTAACTTTTAAGAAGGCACACCAGTTAATTGAAAATCATTCCAGGTGACTACCTCATAAAGCTGGTTGAGAGAATGCCAAGCGTGTGCCAAGCTGTCATCAAGGCAAAGGGTGGCTACTTTGAAGAATCTCGAATATATAATATATTTGATTTGTTTAACACTTTTTTTGGTTACTACATGATTTCATATGTGTTATTTCATAGTTTTGATGTCTTCACTATTATTCTACAATGTAGAAAATAGTAAAAATAAAGAAAAACCCTGGAATGAGTAGGTGTGTCCAAACGTTTGACTGGTACTGTATATATAAAGCTCTGGAAAAAATTAAGAGACCACTGCAAAATTATCAGTTTCTCTGGTTTTATTATTTATAGGTATGTGTTTGGGTAAAAGTAACTTTTTTTATGCTATAAACTACTGACAACATTTCTCCCAAATTCCAAATAAAAATATTGTCATTTAGAGCATTTATTTGCAGAAAATGACAACTGGTCAAACTAACAAAAAAAGATGCAGTGTTGTCAGACCTCGAATAATGCAAAGAAAATAAGTTCATGTTAATTTTTAAACAACACAATACTAATGTTTTAACTTAGGAAGAGTTCAGAAATCAATAACCCTGATTTTGAATCACAGCTTTCATGCGTCTTGGCATGCTCTCCACCAGTCTTTCACATTGATGTTGGGTGACTTTATGCCACTCCTGACGCAAAAATTCAAGCAGCTCGGCTTTGTTTGATGGCTTGTGACCATCCATCTTCCTCCTGATCACATTCCAGAAGTTTTCAATGGGGTTCAGGTCTGGAGATTGGGCTGGCCATGACAGGGTCTTGATCTGGTGGTCCTCCATCCACACCTTGATTGACCTGGCTGTGTGGCATGGCGTATTGTCCTGCTGGAAAAACCAATCCTCAGAGTTGGGGAACAATGTCAGAGCAAAAGGAAGCACGTTTTCTTCCAGGACAACCTTGTACGTGGCTTGATTCATGCGTCCTTCACAAAGACAAATCTGCCCAATTCCAGCCTTGCTGAAGCACCCCCAGATCATCACCGATCCTCCACCAAATTTCACAGTGGGTGCGAGACACTGTGGCTTGTAGGCCTCTCCAGGTCTCCGTCTAACCATTAGACGACCAGGTGTTTGGCAAAGCTGAAAATTGGACTCATCAGAGAAGATGACCATACTCCAGTCCTCTACGGTCCAATCCTTATGGTCTTTTGCAAACCTCAGCCTGGCTCTTCTTTGCTTCTCATTGATGAAGTGCTTTTTTCTAGCTTTGCACGACTTCAGCCCTGCCCCTAGGAGCCTGTTTCGAACCGTCCTCGCCGTGCACTTCACCCCAGCTGCCGTTTGCCATTCTTTTTGTAGGTCACTTGATGTCATCCTACGGTTGTTGAGTGACATTCGAATGAGTTGGCGGTCATCCTAGTCAGTAGAGTCGTTTTCGCCCTCTGCCGGTCTGTAGCTTTGTTGTCCCCAATGTCTGCTGCTTGACCTTGTTCTTATGAACTGCTGTCTTTGACATTTTTTAAGGACGGAAGCAACCTGACGCTCACTGTATCCTTCTGCCAGTAAAGCCAGAATTAAACCCTTCTTTTCCTCACTCAAAACTTTCCTTTTCAACTCTTTTGGCATGGTCCATAGTTATTTTTCAATTAATATTACTTTTGAGGTACTATTAGCACTGTTTTTGCCATCCAACTGGTCCTATTGCAAGAGGATAGTGATGACCACAGCAGTGGTTTTTATACTTTTCCTCGTTAAATAAGATTTGGTTCAGGTGATCACCTAATCAGTACCTAATTCAGTAGAATGAGGTGTGCCTGTGTTGGAATTCAACAGACACTGGAATGGAATGGCTGTCATACATGTAGAGATGCTGATTCAAGAAAAATGTCCAGTGGTCTCTTAATTTTCTCCAGAGCTGTATATATTTTTTTATGGCACACGAGACACCTGTCTTATTCACACCCATCTCAGTGAACTAATCCATTGCGGATGCCGAGACTAATCCATTGCAGAGGCCGCTGGGATGGCAGAGTCCAAGAAGGGGAGTGTGGCTAAGATTCACAATGCATGTGTCTCTCCCGCCAATTTGTGCACATTCATTGTTTTATAACTTCATTTTGTAAGTTGTTTGCGTTGGATTGTTAGTGTCTATCAATTCCCCATTACATACATCACCAGTAGTACATTTACCGTTAGTTCCTATCATTTCTAATCTACAATGTTTGTTTGGTTACGGTAATTTATGTTAATGCATTCAATATTTTATTATTCCAGTCTTTTACCGTTCTCATTGTCGGAGTGGACAGGTTGTTTGCAGAGCACACAACCTATGCTACACTTCTGAGAAACAAGTTTTGGTTTATTTCATTCCATTTACAAGTTTTGTCAATTTAGTAATTGTCTTTTGTTTGGAGTGCTCCTGTCAATGTTGAGTAAGGACGCACACCTGATTACGCATAGAAGTAGGTCTATAGGCCACCTGGCCTGCGCGCAAATGTAGGAATATAAATGAGACCATTTGGGGATCTGATAGTATTTCTGATAGGCTTAACGTACCACCACTAATAAGCTGTTGAGTTTCTCAAAGTAATGTTTTCTTCACCACAAACAGCAAGGAAACTAAGTCTGTTTTTACCTCCATTGAGAATGACAATAGTTCCTCAATGTATTTGAAAAATCTTTCCAGTGCTCTCCCTTTCGATAACCACTCAGCGTAAAAGGGAAAAATGTCATGCTCTGATCCAGTGGAAACGTCATAAAATAGGCCTACCTGATTACTACTTATCCCTTGCGCAAATAGCCTACAGCTGTGTCTGTCCCAAGCTCACTGGTGCGGGAAACTGAGGGCCCAGAATATTTTATACAATGTTGCAAATTTGCTAGAGTCTGCTTCAGGGCCTGACCCAAGTTAATAGTTGATACAATGTTTCAAGTTCATTGCAGACTGACCATGCGTAGCTAATGTGATTTATAGGATATTTATTTTCATCAGGATATTTTCTACCTGTGGCTGCAATGTTTTTATTTGTTGGCTTTATGTAGGCTATTTTTACATAGTTGCCAATGGCAATAGAAGTTACCTTTTTAGGTTTGTATAATTTTAATATAGATTTGGATAGAATTATGATTAACCACATGACAATGATTTTGAGATATGAAGACGTTATTATAAATTAAATGAAACTGTTCCACGAAAATGTTCATATGAAAACCATAACTGGCACGCATATTGGAAGATAATTGTGCCCACAAATGGTAAGATAAACTGTGCCCATAAAGCTCAACACTAAGCTAAGGACTCTGGGACTAAACACCTCCCTCTGCAACTGGATCCTGGACTTCCTGACGAGCTGCCCCCAGGTGGTAGGGTAGGCAACAACACATCTGCCACACTGATCCTCAACACGGGGGCCCCTCAGGGGTGCATGCTTAGTCCCCTCCTGTACTCCCTGTTCACCCATGATTGTGTGGTCAAGCACGACTCCAACACCAACATTAAGTTTGCCGACGAAACAGCGGTGGTAGGCCTGATCACCGACAACGATGAGACAGCCTATAGGGAGGAAGTCAGAGACCTGGCAGTGTGGTGCCAGGACAACAACCTCTCCCTCAACGTGAGCAAGACTAAGGAGATGATCGTGGACTACAGGAGGAGGGTCGAACACGCCCCCATTCACATTGACGGGGCTGTAGTGGGGCGGGTCGAGTGTTTCAGGTTCCTTGGTGTCCACATCACCAACAAATTATCATGGTCCAAACACACCAAGAAAGTCGTGAAGAGGGCACAACAACACCTTTTCCCCCTCAGGAGACTGAAAAGATTTGGCATGGGTCCCCAGATCCTCAAAAGGTTCTACAGTTGCACCATTGAGAGCATCCTGACCGGTTGCATCACCGCCTGGTATGGCAACTGCTCGGCATCCGACCGTAAAGCGCAACAGAGGGTAGTGCGTACAGCCCAGTACATCACTGGGGCCAAGCTTCTTGCCATCCAGGACCTATATACTAGGCGGTGTCAAAGGAAGGCCCAAAAAATGGTCATAGACTGTTCTCTCTGCTACCGCACGTCAAGCGGTACCGGAGCGCCAAGTCTAGGTCCAAAAGGCTTCTTAACAGCTTCTACCCCCAAGCCATAAGACTGCTGAACAATTAATCAAATGGCCACCCGGACTATTTACATTGTTACACTGCTTTTACTTGCTGTTTATTATCTGTGCATAGTCACTTTACCCCTACCTACATGAACACATTTATTTTATTTTATTTTACATTTATTTAACTAGGCAAGTCAGTTAAGAACAAATTCTTATTTACAATGACTGCCTACACCGGCCAAACCCGGACAATGCTGGGCCAATTGTGCGCCGCCCTATGGGACTCCCAATCACAGTCCGGTTGTGATACAGCCTGGAATCGAACCATGGGGTCTGTAGTGACGCCTCAAGCACTGAGATGCAGTGCCTTAGACCGCTGCGCCACTCGGCTAACCTGTATCCCCGCACATTGACTCGGTACCAGTACCCCCTGTAAATAGCCTCGTTATTGTAATTTCTTTGTTACTTTTTTTATTACATTTTTTACTTTAGTTTATTTAGTAAATATTTTCTTAACTCTGTTTCTTGAACTGCGTTGTTGGTTAAGTGCTTTTTAAGTAAGCATTTCACAGTAAGGTCTACACCTGTTGTATTCGGCGCATATGACAAATACAATTGTATTTGATTGATTTGAATTGACATTCCACATGAGAAAGGTTGCCGACTCCTCCTGTAGCCTACTGCTGGCAACTTCAGGAGAGTAACGGCAGAACCTGCGAAAGCCAGCAGGGGCGTTCTTTTTCTTTTCTTCTGGTTATCTTGATCTCTGGCTCTCTTGAGTCATTTGTGTTTTATTTCATCAAACAGTGCGCTTAAATCATCAGACAAGCTCAATGCATATAGTTGATTTAATTTAAACACATATATGGAAAAATACATGTTTTCATATTTCGACCAATCCATTGGTCAAAAGAACAGATGACTTTCGGTCAACTAAAATTTTGTTTTTGTCGGGGACAGCCCTACATTACATTTTAGTCATTTAGTAGACTCTTATCCACTTAGTCAGTGCATTCAACTAGTTTAGTAGGTTTCCTCACTGCACCATGACGTCACAGATGAAGAACACCACAAGACAAGACTGACATCTAGGAGGTCCATGTATAGCTTGGACAGTGGTGGTTGTAATAGTAGGGCAGTGTGTAGCAGACAGGTGGGGGATTGGATAACTCAGACCCACCAGGACTGTGAGATTGACCTCTATCTTGAGTGTCAGGTGTAATAATGGAAGAAGCCCCCATCACCCCCAGACCCTTAACACTCTTTCATTTTGAAATGAGATTCATATAGCAGGCAGCCCTCAGTGGGGAAGCCACAGGCCCAAACAACAGGGCTTCGTGAAAATGGCATCCTATTCCCTGTATAGTGCACCACTTTAATGACCAGAGCCCTATAGTCCCTGGTCAAAAGCAGTGCATTTAATAGGGAATAGGGTGCCATTTGGGATGCGGACCAGGAGTAATAGGAGTGTGCCACGGTGGATTTAGCACCCCGTTCACACGCTAATTTAGAGCCACCGCTGCTAGCTCAGCTCAAACTCAGTTTTTCCACTAAGCTTGGCACAAAAGCAGCCCACTGCTTTTGTATTTAGGAAAAAGTCTGCTTGCATTAACAGGTATTAATTAAAGTTTTTATTTGGGCTCTGAAGTTAGCTTATTTTACTGGTAGGGATCTTAGTTCCCCTATGGGTTCATTTAGAGTAATAGGGACTGATGTGTGTTCTCCATCCCCAACAGCAGATCACCTGCTCCGGGCCTCCCCTGGGACCCGCAACCCCTCTGCCCTTCAGAGGGTCCCCAACATGGACTCCTCCTCCAAGTCCCTCTCAGGTGTGTGTTTACGCAACCATATTTACCTGTGTCAGAGGCTGTAACATAAATCCGTGACTGTGTGCTCTAAATGACTTGATTGCGGCTTGATAGTTAAAGTAATGTGATTGTGGTACTGATAACTCTGTGGTAAGTTACTACTAAAATAGTGACCTGTGTTCCTGTAAGTGACCTGTGTCCTGTTGTGTCCCCAGTGTCTCGCAGGAGCAATGAGGAGCTGAAGAGAGACATGTCTTCCTTAGAGAACACTGCCTCCCTCATCACCTCCTCCCCCTCCACCTCCTCCCCCACCGCCTCAGTCACCCCTTCCACAAGGGGATGCCTACGGTATGGACACCCTCTCTCTCTCTCTCCATGTGCATGCGTGTTTCAGTATCTGTGGGTGTCAGTATCTGTGGGTGTCAGTATCTGTGGGTGTCAGTATCTGTGGGTGTCAGTATCTGTGGGTGTCAGTATGTGTGTGTGTCAGTATCTGTGTGTGTCAGTATCTGTGTGTGTCAGTATCTGTGTGTGTCAGTATCTGTGTGTGTCAGTATCTGTGTGTGTCAGTATCTGTGTGCGTCAGTATCTGTGTGCGTGTCTCCTTTCACTATCTCCCTCTCGTTCCTGAGCTCCCTCTCTATCCCCCTCTCTCTGAATTATTCAATCTCATGGAATGATTCTATTGTTCACCATCTTGACATGCTAGTCAATGAATGCAGGGGGCTGGGAGAGTATAGTTACATAGGATGAAAGGACAAATATAACACAATGTATTTTTTGGGGTTTCAATGTCACCCTGACATGTTGTAGATTTTCATCTTCTGAAAGGTACACTGAGGCCGTTTCCTGGACACGGATCAAGCCCAGTGCTGGACTGAAAAGCAAGCTCAATGGAGAAACCCCATAGAAAATGCTTTTTAGTCCAAGATTAGGCTTAATCTGTGTCCGGAAAACCCCCCTTTGTGTAGGATCATTCTTTCTCTTCGTGTGCTCTTTCATTTCTTTACTTCTGTGTGTCCATAGGGAGGAGAGAAAAGACCCTCTGACTGCATTGGCCAGGGAGTATGGGGGATCCAAAAGGAACGCCCTGCTCAAGTGGTGCCAGAAGAAGACTGAAGGATACCAGGTACTAACCAACAGGGTGGGAAATGGGTGGAGAGTACAGGCTGGCATAAGACACAAACACGTGCATGCACACCCCAACTTGCGCAACGTACTTACTCCATCCCATTGGACAATGCTTTGGTTTCTCTCAACAGGTTTAGATGCAGGAAAGAATATCAGATCATTACCGTTACTCTGTTTTGATCAATAGGGCCATTGCCTTATGCGCTCTATCCAATAGCTGCGAACACAGACGGTAAACGCTGTGTTTCCTTCCTGTTCATTTCCAATCAGAGTCCCTTCCTTCTCCTTCCAGGCTTTTAAGATGTTTACCCACCAGGAACCATTAAGGACTGCCCTGTGTAGTTACCATGGTAGCAGTTATGCTTTACCCTCTCCAGGAAGTGTGCCAGACTTCACTGACGTCCCGGCCCTTCCTCTTCCCTCTCCCTTTCGCTGAATCTCTCCACGGCATGGGCTAGGTAGCACAAATGGGCATTTTGTGCTACAGCAGAGACTATAAACCTTTTTTTCTTTCTAAGGAGTTGCCCACGAGTTCTTAGCTGTTCAGTCTGGGAAATAGAACGACAAGGCCTTTGCTATAATGCTAAATAGCCTCTCTAGTTTGTATTTTCTATTGGTCCCCTGACTCCCTTCTGAATTGTAAATGTTCTCTCCACTAACAGTCTTCTCTCTTTTTCTCTTTTATATATACTGTATATAGGCCTATGTGGCATTGTTTTCATGAGGCCCATAGTTAATGTGTTCATTACAAGTGCTCTGTTGCTGCTAGGAGTACTTTTTGCCAGTTGACTCACTCACTCACTGCCATGCTCACTGCAAACACACTGCTACCAGCCAAGCCTTTCCTAACGTAGGTCAGCCCTCTTTTTCCACAGATTATACATGAATGCTTTCTGCTGGGATCCTCCTGTCGCTTTAACTCTACTTTCCATAGTTGATTCATATACTTCTCCGGTAAAGCAAACAGGTGCATAGAGAATACATACCTTAAATGTGGCTAATTTTTATGTTCCTTGTTGCAAAGTTTGTTAGCATTTTAACAGTCATTTCTTTCTCAATAGTTTGGGTGGGAAAGGTTCTGAGGAAAAGATGAGTTGGCAAAGTTACACAACCAGTGTGGCTCACCATAGTTAGTGACTAGAGTGCCTTTGCCCGCAGCATGTGTAGTCCTGGTTAACACCAATGAGACGGGTGCTGTGATCCTGGAGAGCCAGTGAATTGGGGTCCCACAGAGAGCAGTGACGCTTCTTGGCGGAGCAATCAGGCATCCCCTTCCTCTCCCTTTCTCTTTCATGCTCCACACTGCAGTGTCCCTTGTGTTATGGCACCCTGGTGTCTGGACCATTTTCTTCTCCCCATATCCCTTGACACTCACCATCTCTGATAATTGACACAGGTTCCCTGTGACCCTTAGGAGAGAGTTGAGGGCTGCCTCGCTGTAGACAGGGTCTGCGTCCCAAATGGCACCCTATTCCCTATATAGTGCACTACTTTTGACCAGGGCTCATTGGGCACGCAGAAGGGGGTGGCGGAAGGTTGAAGTCAAACTCGGATGGGATGGGATGAGGTTCAGGGTTCTCCCCAGGATAAATAAATAAAAAAGTGGTGCTGCTGAGTATGGCGGGGAGGGTGGAGTGCTCCCCGCCATACTCAGAGATTTGTGAATTTTTAAACAACTGTAACTGCCAATTCCTGCAATCAAGAGCAAAAATTGGCCTCCTATGATAACAAATAAAGTAAAAAATAAAAGCTGCAGTGTCCCTCCTAACATTTTTTTGGGGACGTGGGAAATGTCCCCACGAGGGAGAGTTTTCCTTGTTTTACTATCCGTGTGGGGACTTTGGGGGATTTTAGGTCCCCACAAGGATAGAAGAACCCCCCCCCCCCACACACACACACACACACACACACACACACACACACACACGGATAAAGAAGTGGAGCTAGTAGTGGAGACTCTTTGACCCTCTCTCGCTTGAGTGCAAGGCAGTGTGAAGAAACACTAGTGTGCTAAAACATGTTCCTTCTTCCACTTCCCTTGAAAGACCACAGTTCATCTACGGTTGTTGCTGGTGGTTGGGGATGACATGGTGAAACATAAGGATAGCCTAGGGCTGGTGTTTTAGAGATCACTTACTGTTATGCTCCTTCTCTCCAGAACATTGACATCACCAACTTCAGCAGCAGCTGGAACGACGGGCTGGCCTTCTGTGCTGTTCTCCACACCTACCTGCCAGCCCACATCCCCTACCTGGAGCTCTCCAGCCAGGACAAGGTGAGATAGAGGCTCTCACTGTCAACTAAGACTGTTATGGTGGAGTTCCCTGGACACAGATTAATCCTAATCGTGGATTTAAAAGCATTTTCAATGGAGATTCTCCATTTAGTTTGCTTTTTAGTCAATAGCTAGGCTTAATCTGTGTCCAGGAGTGTTTTGAAATGTGTGTCATGTACACACTTTGTTGTTAGTTCATCAAAATGTTTATTTTCTCCTTTTTCTTTCAGAAGCAGAATTTCACACTGGCTTTCCAGGCCGCTGAAAGTGTTGGGATCAAGTCCACATTGGTAGGTGTCTGAGCTAAAACGAACCCAAGACGGCTCCACCATTTGCACGAAAGGATATTTGACTACCACTAAAAGCGTAGAATGAAATGAGTGAGATACTTTATATGGCTTTATTTGGGGGGGGGGGGGGGGGGGTGAGAGACACAGTCCATATACCTTCCTCCCCTTTGTAATGCTTGACTGTGCAACAGAAAGACGGGGCTGATGTATAGTTCCACCTACAGCAGCAATGCACACCAACGTCAGTCACATAGTTTGGCCAGCTGTAGCCTGTGAGACCTGGCCTTAAAAGAAGTGTTCATGTCAATGGCAAGCAGCTCCAGCTTATTTAGGAGCAGTGTCATACCAAGGCCAGTTGACTTCAGCTTAACAAGACAAACTGGGTTTCGTCTGTGGGTGATCCACTGTTTTCCCCAATACACACTCCAGAGAGCCTTCAGAGTGGGAGGAGATTTACTATTAAAACAAAAGAGACACGCTCTCTGTGTTCTTGCCTCTCGTCAATTATACAGTGCCTTGCAAAAATATTTATCCCCCTTGGCGTTTTTCCTATTTTGTTGCATTACAACCTGTAATTTAAATGGTTTTTATTTGGATTTCATGTAATGGACATACACAAAATAGTCCAAATTGGTGAAGTGAAATGAAAAAAATAACTTGTTTCAAGAAATTCTAACAAATAAATAACGGAAGAATGGTGTGTGCATATGTATTCACCCCCTTTGCTATGAAGCCCCTAAATAAGATCTGGTGCAACCAATTACCTTCAGAAGCCACATAATTAGTTAAATAAAGTCCACCTGTGTGCAATCTAAGTGTCACATGATCTCAGTATATATACACCTGTTCTGAAAGGCCCCAGAGTTTGCAACACCACTAAGCAAGGGGCACCACCGAGCAAGCGGCACCATGAAGACCAAGGAGCTCTCCAAACAGGTCAGGGACAAAGTTATAGAGAAGTACACATCAGGGTTGGGTTATAAAAAAATATCAGAAACTTTGAACATCCCACGGAGCACCATTAAATCCATTATTTAAAAAATGGAAAGAATATGGCACCACAACAAACCTGCTGAGAGGGCCGCCCACCACAACTCATGGACCAGGCAAGGAGGGCATTAATCAGAGAGGCAACAAAGAGACCAAAGATAACCCTGAAGGAGCTGCAAAGCTCCACAGCAGAGATTGGAGTATCTGTCCATAGGACCACTTTAAGGCGTACACTCCAAAGAGCTGGGCTTTACGGAAGAGTGGCCAGAAAAAGCCATTGCTTAAAGAAAAAAAGAAGAAAACATGTTTGGTGTTCACCAAAAGGCATGTGGGAGACTCCCCAAACATATGGAAGAAGGTACTCTGGTCAGATGAGACTAAAATTGAGCTTTTTGGCCATCAAGGAAAACGCTATGTCTGGCGCAAACCCAACACCTCTCATCACCCCGAGAACACCATACCCACAGTGAAGCATGGTGGTGGCAGCATCATGCTGTGGGGATGCTTTTCATCAGCAGGGACTGGGAAACTGGTGAGAATTGAAGGAATGATGGATGGCGCTAAATACAGGGAAATTCTTGAGGGAAACCTGTTTCAGTCTTCCAGAGATTTGAGACTGGGACGGAGGTTCACCTTCCAGCAGGACAATGACCCTAAGCATACTGCTAAAGCAACACTTGAGTGGTTTAAGGGGAAACATTTAAATGTCTTGGAATGTCCCAGACCTCAATCCAATTGAGAATCTGTGGTATGACTTAAAGATTGCTGTACACCAGCGGAACCCATCCAACTTGAAAGAGCTGGAGCAGTTTTGCCTTGAAGAATGGGCAAAAATCCCAGTGGCTAGATGTGCCAAGCTTATAGACATACCCCAAGAGACTTGCAGCTGTAATTGCTGCAAAAGGTGGCTCTACAAAGTATTGACTTTGAATAGTTCTGTTTTTCTGTCTTATTTCTTGTTTGTTTCACAATAAAACATATTTTGTATCTTCAAAGTGGTAGGCATGTTGTGTAAATCAAATGATACAAACCCCCCAAAAATCCATTTTAATTCCCGGTTGTAAGGCAACAAAATAGGAAAAATGCCAAGGGGGGTAAATACTTTCACAAGCCACTGTATGACCATTTAGATATTAAGTAGAGGCAGCAACACCTCTCAACCTTTCTCTGGTGGAAAGTATTGTGATTTCTTACTCTTAGGCCAAACGATGGGTGCTTGCTTATTCCTCACCATCTCTTACTCAGAGAATATTCTGCACATACAATTTGCAGCGAAATAAATGATGCAGTGCGTTACGCATTTGTATTGCAACCCATATTATCTCTCTCTCTCTCAGGACATTGGAGAGATGGTGTACACTGAGAGGCCTGACTGGCAGAGTGTGATGACCTACGTCACGGCCATCTACAAGTACTTTGAAACGTGACCCATCATCAAGCCTCAACACCTCGCTGCCCCACATACTCCAGACCACATTTCCAGCCAGGGCTGTCATCACAACACTGGACAATCTTAGAGCATTATCAACTGATGCTACCTGCAAAGACTTCTGGGACCCTGAGTTTTGCATTAAGCTCTATTGCTTAACTCCATCCAATATGTTCTATGTTTACACTGCAATGTTCTACAAACTCTTGGCTTGGGATGCTCATGTGGCTTCTCAGCTAGTCTGAATCCCTTGAAGACTATGCTATAGATAGACCAAGGCCCTGGGTATTGGACAATGTGTTGACCAGGCCCCCCATCTGTCGTTCAACTTTTCTTGTATCAGTGACTTCCTGTATACTCAATTCTATTGACCTCTTGACCCCAGCCCTATGTGAACTGCGCTGTCTGCAGTAGCCTATAATAACACCATGATCACCGCCAACACTACACTGCAAGTTAGGTAGTTTATGTTTAAATCATTTGAGTATGTTTTTGGAATACTGCAGAAAACAGGACTGTGTTTTAAAAATGCCTTTGGCTTTGCCCATTTTGTCTGTTTGCTCAATGACTTAATGGTAAGTGTGCCTTACCTGACAGAGGGTCCAGTTTAACTGCCACTGTAGGTGTTTTGTGCTGTTTTAGCCCAATGCTTTGCTGTGATATATATTCCAAAGAGATCATGTACAAGTTTGGCAGATGAAGATATCTTGAACTTCACAATAATCATCTTGTTATTTTTCTCAGTCTAGCAGTCTGTTGTGTCCAAACTCTGCGAGAGTGATGGTTGGCCATCATAGCCAGTCTCTGGGTGTATAGTGAGGTCAGTTGCCCTGTAGCACACTCATCCATAAATAGGCTGAACAACACAGGGAGCTGACCTGATAAGCTAACAGTTTTGGCATTACGGTAAAGGCACCGCTTACTGTTCCACAAATCCTTACTGGTTTCAAAGCACAAGGGGAGGGGAGGCTCTTTACTCTAATGGAATGTGTTTAAACCTTCATCAATGCCATAAAAACCACTTTGAAGGTTTCAAAGGGTGACTCCTCACGACAGAAGATAGCCCTATATACCAAGTCTATATTATGGCAAGAACAGATCAAATAAGCAAAGAGAAACGACAGTCCATCATTACTTTAAGACATGAAGGTCAGTCAATATGGGACATTTCAAGAACTTTGAACGTTTCTTCAAGTGCAGTCGCAAAAACCATCAAGTGCCATGATGAAACTGGCTCTCATGAGGACCGCCACAGGAATGGAAGACCCAGAGTTACCTCTGCTGCAGAGGATAAGTTAATTAGAGTTACCAGCCTCAGAAATTGCTGCCCAAATAAATGCTTCACAGAGTTCCAGTAATGACACATCTAAACATCAACTGTTCAGAGGAGACTGTGTGAATCAGGCCTTCATGGTTGAATTGCTGGAAAGAAACCACTACTAAAGGACACCAATAAGAAGAAGAGACTTGCTTGGGCCAAGAAACACGAGTAATGGACATTAGACCGCTGGAAATGTGTCCTTTGGTCTGGAGTCAAAATGGGAGATTTTTGGTTTCAACCGCTGTATCTTTGTGAGACGCGGTGTGGGTGAACGGATGATCTCCGCATGTGTATTTCCTACCATAAAGCATGGATGAGGTGTTATGGTGTGGGGGTGCTTTGCTGGTGACACTGTCTGTGATTTATTTAGAATTCAAGGCACACTTAACCAGCATGGCTACCACAGCATTCTGCAGTGGTACGTCAGTCCCACTAAGCCCAAACCAGATTGGATATCATTTGTTTTTCAACAGGTCAATGACCCAACACACCTCCAGGCTGTGTAAGGGCTATTTTACCAAGAAGGAGAGTGATGGAGTGCTGCATCAGATGACCTGGCCTCCACAATCCCCCGACCTCAACCAAATTGAGATGGTTTGGGATGAGTCGGACCGTGGAGTGAAGGAAAGGCAGCCAACAAGTGCTCAGCATATGTAGGAACTCCTTCAAGACTGTTGGAAAAAGCATTCCAGGTGAAGCTGGTTGAGAGAATGCCAAGAGTGTGCAAAGCTGTCATCAAGGCAAAGGGTGGCTATTTGAAGAATCTCAAATAAAAAATATATTTTGATTTGTTTAACACTTTTTTGGTTACTACATGATTCCATATGTGTTATTTCATAGTTTTGATGTCTTCACTACTATAGTACAATGTAGAAAATAGTTTTTAAAAAAGAAAGAAAAACCCTTGAATGAGTAGGTGTTCTAAAACTTTTGACCGGTGGTGTATATGTGTCATTAGTATCTAAAAGCATAATTGAGAAATCATTAATCAAAGTTGACCTATTTATGACATTTTGGCCTTACCCAGGCCTCCTTTATGTTTTATCTGTAGGTGCTACAAAGCAAACATTTGTGTCATATGAAGCTTTACCGCTTGCTCTGTAATATGAGTAGTATTTTGATTTCAATAACCATTTTCTTACATTAATTTAGTAATATTGAAAAATATAAACATGAATATTGAAAGAATACCATTTTTGATTTGGCTACTTTTATTTATATATATATATATATGTGTGTGTGTGTAGTTAAATATAATATACTCTAGGGGCATATCAAAGTTCCAGAGTGCAATGATGCAAGTAAAAGGAGGGCTGTGATTGGTTACATTGCCTACTATGCCAATTTCTCTGTATAAAATGGGCCATTACTTTAAAACTAGCAGAGATCCCACACTGGAACTTTGATATGCCCTTAGAGTATATTATGTTCAACAATATATTGAAAAATGGGCCTAATAAAAAATAAAAATAATATTCATGATTATATGTGTTTATATTCATTAAATTTATGTAAGAAAATTGTTATTGAAATGAAAACACTCATGTTTCAGAGCAAGCGGTAAATATTCTTATGACACACATTTTTACTTTGTAGCACCTACATATGAAACATTATGGAGTCTTAAAGGAGGCCTGCCTGGGTAAGGCTAAAATGTCATAAATATGCCAACTTTGATTAATTATTTCTAAATTATGCTTTTAGAATAAATGTCATGAAAATCATGATTTTTTTTTTGTTCTGGTTTCGTGAGGAATCAGCCCAAAGATATTTGGTGTCCTAAACAGTAAAGCCCTTTCCTCCAGCACAGTGAAAACATATTAGCTAGGTATGTTCCCACACATGGGGAAAGCGTAAAATCTTAAACTGATTGAAGTGTTTCCATTATCCATTTAGGCCTCCCACCTATCTGTTTCATGTCTCAGGTAGCCTGCAAAAGCCAGCATGGCTAGAATGCAAGAATTGACTAATATTGCCATATTCTAATAATTATCATGTGCCAACGTATCGCCACGGTGAAACTTGCACTCCTGTAGCCTAGATCTGAAATAATTGGATAGTGAAGCTTGTATCCAGCCAAGCGGAAAAGCACGGCGAAGCAATTCAGACTATCCTTGTCCCGCAAAGAAACATTATTTTTTATAGTTGAAAAATAGATGTAGCAACCAGTAGGAGTGGAGCTTTATAGTAACGTGATGACATGACGTACCTTGCAAATTATTCGGCAATCATATTTTCTTTCTTCTATACACTGTTTCCATCATTTTTCGCAATAAAGAAAGTTATACAAAAGAGAGACATTTTTTGTCGATCTTTAGAACATTTCTCCTATAGCTGCCGTTTCCATTTTTGTTGTTGTTGCGACATTGCTTTTGTCAATAAACCTGGGTCAATGAAAACCGGCCTAATGACACCTGATGTCTCACACTGACCACTATGGTCATGTTTTGGTTAGGACACTATGGTCATGTTTTGGTTAGGAGTCTGGACACTACGGCCATGTTGTGGTTAGGTTGGTTTCTAAATTTCCTGGTTTGCTCTTTTTGATGTGTTATCTGATGAAATGGACTGACTATTAAGAGTAACTGGCTACATTAAAGGCAAATTATGTCTCGCTGACATAGAAATTAGATTAAAAGTAGGCTGAGCATAACCAGAGCCTGTTATGTACTGTATGGGGAACACTTTATAAAGTGAAGAGTTGTTGAATTTATCAGTCCTTCATAGCTAATAGTAGACAGGATGCCAATGTCGTCTTATTTCCTTCTCCCCTCCTTTTATAGCTCCAATCTGTTTAGTCAATGATTTAAGGGACCTGGGCTCATTGATGTTTGAACCATAGAGATAGATAGAGGACTTTAGTACCTAAAATCCTGTTTTAGCATGGGCAGCGCCGTTGAGGACTTTCACAATTTTTAAGTTGTCAACTGGGTGGGACTTCCTATGGGTTAAGGAAGGATCATATAATTCCATCCAGGTCACCAGGAGGGATTAGCCAATTAATTATACTAGTGAGGAAACCAGTGGAGGCTGCTGAGGGGAGGACAGCTCATAATAATGACTGGGACGGCACCAATGGAATGGCATCAAACATTTGGAAACCAATTGTTGGATGTATTTGATAATGTTCCGCTCCAGCCATTACCACGAGCCCGTTCTCCCCAATTAAGGTGCCACCAACCTCCTGTGGAGGAAACATTCCATAACTGCAGGTCACAGACGCCACAATGGGACAGGTACAATGATGTGATGTCAATCTAAGTCTATGGGTTGAGCCTTGTCAAAACTATGGGCACAATGTATTGTTGTTGGCATGTACTAGTAAAAACTACAACTATGTATCAGAGGACCATTCAATTAATAACATTCTTAGGTACAAACTTGGTTGATTTAACAGTTGGACTTTGAAGTGCTCAATGTAACGTTAACACTACAAGACCGTTTAACTTATTATGAAATTACAAAAAGCTTTGCTAAATTTGATGAATGAGGTTGAAAAGTAGATTTAAAGGAAAATGTATGTATTATGTTATACACTTGTGTGTGTTTGCAAGCTAATTCCTAGAAGCAATACAAATATGACTGCAGTTGAGTACACTGATTAACTTAAATCGCCATTTCTAATTGTTCTTTTTTTACACGTCTGTAGTGCCATACACCTCATCAGCAAGCTATTT